CCTTAGCAAAGCGCATCCCAGGCTGCATAGCCGCACTACCCTACCCAACCATACCACACATAAACATGACACTACCCCCGGGGTTTACACAGACGAGCCGGCGAAGCAAGAAGAGCGCCAGAAGAAAGGGCCCTAGCCGGCGGGGCCCAGCCAGGACAAAAGGAGGTCCCACAAAGCGCCTACACCGGCCGCATTTGCGGTCGGGGTAGACGACGGATGGGGCCCACCTACGAAGGCTGTCCAGGCCTACACGAGATGAGGCAGGATAAAGAGGGATAATCCCCCTCGATCCCAAATCATTGAGGCCAATTTCTAGCCATAGAATAATGGCGCGATTATTCATTAATCGAATAATTCGTTTTTAATAGAACATACCTTAGAGCATATACTACAGGAGGCAGCGTCTTAGTGGCCGAGAGTGTAGCAGAGAGAGAGGGAGGTACAGAAGGGTCAATGCTATCTCTCTGTAGCAGCACGCGATTGCATGTTGTTAGAGAGAGACAGCACTAATATTCTTACACCCCCCTCTCTCTCTCTCTCTAAACCTAAACTCTCGATCACTGGAACGCTGCCTCCAGTACTCTACTCTATATCTATACTCTAAGGCAGTGACCACTTTATCAATTCAGAATGCAGTGACATCTCTTATCTATGGCAGTGACCAATGGTCTCCCTGACTGAATGTAATGTGACTTTGACTTTAGTACAGAATTATAACACTTTAGTGAATCTATTTTTCTCTTTGTCTATGAATCTTTTGTGGGTTGTCTATTCTAACTGTCTAGATTGTAATCCAAATGGTGAAATCTCATAATTCTGAAAATATTTTTCATTTTTAAGTCCTAAATATTTGATCTATCAGAAATAAACAACAAGTCAGATAAAACGTAAGTACTTTAATTAATGACATATTTAGCCATTTTTAACCTTCAAGTTCGAAAAAGTCATACTGCCTATTATTAGATTGTTTTGATGCAATAACAGTTATTTTTCAATCAAATTTCACATGCGTTAAACACGCATTTAATTATTTTTAATTTTTCGTTGTTTATTACTTCGTTTTTCGAACTGTGCCTCCTATTGCCATTGTTAGTTTAGAACGATATCAAAGCACCATATTTTTTAGAAAATGACTTCTTTTCTGCATAGTATATTTGTGCAAAAGCCAAAATTCTTAGGAACAAAAACTGGTTTTTCCAATGTAGTAAGACTGGTACATGGAAAAGTAGAAGCTTCCAGCCATAAGGTAGACAAATTGGAAAAAAGATTTTTGGTGTGGACTGGAAAANAAATATTTTTCATTTTTAAGTCCTAAATATTTGATCTATCAGAAATAAACAACAAGTCAGATAAAACGTAAGTACTTTAATTAATGACATATTTAGCCATTTTTAACCTTCAAGTTCGAAAAAGTCATACTGCCTATTATTAGATTGTTTTGATGCTATAATAACAGTTATTTTTCAATCAAATTTCACATGCGTTAAACACGCATTTAATTATTTTTAATTTTTCGTTGTTTATTACTTCGTTTTTCGAACTGTGCCTCTTATTGCCATTGTTAGTTTAGAATGATATCGAAGCACCATATTTTTTAGAAAATGACTTCTTTTCTTCATAGTATATTTGTGCAAAAGCCAAAAATCTTAGGAACAAAAACTGGTGTTTCCAACGCAGTAAGACTGGTACATGGAAAAGTGGAAGCTTCCAGCCATAAGGTAGACAAATTGGAAAAAAGATTTTTGGTGTGGACTGGAAAATACAAGAAAATTGAGGATGTACCTAATTTTGTGAGCCAGAGCACTATAGAACGAGCTAGGAATCGAATGAGAATAAGAATTGCGAATTATATGATGCTAGCAACGGCTGTCGGTTGCATAATAATGATTTACAGTGGTAAACAGGCAGCGAAAAGAGGAGAAAGCGTACAAAAGCAGAACATAGAATGGCACAGAAAAATTAAAGAGGAGGCAAAAGCAGAATAAGCTAGACACTTGTATTTGCCAATATAATCACTGTATATAATCGGTTGTGTATTCAATTAGATATTGTAGATAATAAAGTCGTCTGAAATATTTTTTCAATAGCAAATTTATATTTTGATTAGCAAAAATGTTTTTAACATTAATGTCATTTCTGCTAAATGTAGTATTAGGAATAAATGTTCTAAAATTTAATAAATAATAAAAATTTTAAATTATAACGTTTACATAAATGTATCGACATTTAATTCTAAATATTGAACACCAGAGTGAGCAATTAGTGATGTTACTGTGATAATACTGATACAATTTGTATAAGGCATTAAGTATGTAAACAAAGTTTAAGGGGTAACTATGAGCAACTTTAAAGCAAAAAGTTATGTAATCATGGGTCTGCAAACTGGTATTTTGAGATATGGAATGTCAAAACTTAAAAAAATGTATCTGAAGACTTGATGTAGAATCACAAATCGAAGGCTAATGATTTATTTAAAGTAAAAAAAGTAAAAATCCACTGGTTTCAGATATAAATATATGTACCAGTGTACCACTCAGGAGTTTGGCCCAACTAAAAACTTTTTCACTAGTAATTCGTAGTGTTTCCAAAAAAATCAAGACATCTTTCGTTTTAAACGATAAATGAACAATTTTCTACTTATTTTCATCTATATATAATTAATTAATATCTATGGAACTACTCGTTTCGCACAGAAATTTCATGATTTGTTTTTTTAGTAAATATTACAATTTTAAATATAGTCATGGCTCCTTGCCAGCTTACCAAAAATGTTAAATTTCACGCTATTAATTTTTTTTTAGATTTATGATCGGTTCATATTTAAAATGATATTTCTATCAAAAAAATGCCCTGAAGAGTTTATTATTTTATATTTTCTGGAATGTTTCGTAATGTTAATAAATATTTAAAAAAAGGAATCAATTGAAAATGGTTAAATTTTCAAATAAAATGAGAAATCTTGTTTCTTGGAAACGCCACAAGGAGTTAAAATGATTTTTTTATGATAAATTTCTGAGGTTTTCAATGAGAGCCACCTCCAGTATCTCCGGTACTATTTACACTTATTTATATCCAAATTCAATAGACTTTTAATTAGGTAATTCATTAGCCTATGTTTCATTATTCTACATCAAACGTTTTCACAGATATTTTAGAAAAGACGACTGTTTCTTAATTTCTAAAACCCTGTATCTCGAAAATGCTCCATTTACAGACCATGTTTATATACTAACATATTTGGTTTAAAATCACTCAAAAAGTTGCTCCTTAAAATTTGTCTACATATTTAATTAACACCTCGTATATTGCTCAAACCTTTCCTTAGATATTTAGAGACAAAGAATGTATATAAGAAAAATGATAATAACTATTAAAAATGAGTCAAAGATCCCTAAGTCCATTTTCATTAACTACAAAATTACACCTAGTATTTGGTAGGTCCGGGGCAAATATTACTTCAAAATCTCTGATTCTACTATTATTATTCCTAGTTATACAAAATCGACAAGTAACGTTGTTACTCCATGCCAAGCCCAAGCAAGGCTCAGTCTTTTCAGTTGCAAAGTTTTCCGCCACCTAAAACACGATAAGTAAAATACATGCACATTAAAAAAAATGAAAGCAAAATACCTGGTTGATGCAGACAATTCCTACTTTGTATTTATAACAGATGTGATGCAGTGCCGAACCTATAATTCCGATATCCTGACCCCTGCTACTGTAACAGATGTCGTTGTTTTCACTTCTGAAAACACCTGCTATGGAATCGACGATTATTAATCCGACATTTTTTAAATTGAGCAACTGAGGTAAACGAACACATAAACAACGTCTTAATTGTTCAAAATCAGCTGCATGTTCAAGATGCACTTTGTCTCCGAAATCGTAATGATTTAAGTTGTATTTATTTTTGAAAGTATTTGCTAACTGATGAAATCTTTTAGATGGAAATACGTCTTCAGTGCAAATGTATACTGCTTCTAAAATAAACACAAATTACAAATAAAATGTAAAATTATAAGTCTAATACCTTTTTCTTTGCCACCAACGCTTTTTGGTAGCTGAACCATTAAAACTAACTGCAAGCAAAACTGAGTTTTTCCTACTCCACTACAGCCATATATTTCTGTGATTCCATTAATAGGTATTCCTCCATGTAAAACTGAATCTATATTACTACAACCCGTGCTTATTCTATCCCACGGGGGTACTTGCTCGGCTAAAATTTTTGTGTATTAACAAGAAAAATATGTAAAATATTACTTTACCTGTACAAAATGTTTGTTTAAGGGCTATATTATTGGCCTCTTTCTTTATCGTTTCTAATAGCTCAATTGATAAACGAGTAAGATCATGTAGTTCATTTACAGATTTATTTAAAATAACAAATATTGAATCAACTTTTCCTACAAAATAATAGGTTGCAACACGTGTTACAAAGATAAAATATGTTTGTGTTTAAACCTCTTTAGATAACTAAGTTTATCGTGAATTTTAATGTTTCTGTTCACCTTCAATAAGTTTATGATAAACGTCGTAGTTTATAATGGTTTTTAATTCCTCCATATTTTACGCCACAAATTGTAGTGCAAAAATAAAATAATAAATAATTAGTGAAAAGTGAAATAATAAATATTTTCACCTCAACGAATGTTTGTTTACACTTATTTCTTATTTCTTACGTCCAGAACGTCTTTCCTATTTCATTCAAAGAGAATCACAGAGCATAGAAAATATAGTACTAACGTACTATATTTTCTATGTCACAGAGTGATGATGACTGATGAGAATGAAAGAATGAAAATGAAATAATGAATGAATGCACAAAACATATAATCAAAGGAAGAATTCATAGAAATATATCATTCCATTTAATTTCTCAAGCAATGAAGTGGAACAGTCACTTGTGCCGGTGCCTTGTGTCGATTGGCCAATTAAACTATTAAATAGTTCCAAATTTTCATGCCGCCATCTGTCGATCTGTCGTTAATAAACTGCGGAAGAATTCTTTAACAGGTGGCCAACTGTAATAGTCTCGCATTCACTTGTGAATTAATTGAACTTTTGGTGACGCATACTTTCCCCATAAATAGATTGTGTATAGGTATATTACATTAAACTAATAAAGATTCAATAAAGTCAGTTGCAGAAAAATCGACTATGCCAGCGTATTCACCGACCCCAGTTCCGTAAGATACCGCCTTGACATGTGCACTTTAATTTTTTGAAAATTTTCATCGACTTTCTTTAAACGTTTTAGGGTTCGGAAAAATCTGAAAAAATTCCGGTGGACCATAGAGGTGCCGACCAATCCAAAACTGTATTCAGTTCCTCTCTAGCCCACCAATTTTGGTTTTTTGTTTATCTAGTTCCATTTAAGTTTTTGGACGGCAGGCAACATACAATACAATATTTTTGTATACTTAGTTGCATAAAACTTTAAAAACCTAAAATTTTATATTGTTTTAACGAACATGTTTTAAAAGTTGTTGGCTTTTTTTGCAAACGTAAAAATATGATTAAATCTGTAAATATCTTGAAAAGTGGTGGTAAATTCAGAATATATACAGTGTGTCCCCGGATTGAGTGCACAAAGGGCAGGAGTTGAAATTTGAGCTTCTGGGCTTCATCTCTGCTTGGCCTTAGGCCGGTATTAGACTTATAAACGATATTTGACATAGATCTTTTATAAAATATTTTTTTGATATTTTTTTTTTAAAAAAGCTTCTGAGCAGTAGAGTAGTATTACACTGTCAAAGAACTGTATATTTTTAAGGGAATTGTGACGCTTAACAATTTGGTAGCTGAAACGCACCACACAAACTTGTCTTCCGCCATATCGTTTTGAAACTGTTAAATATTTTATCAAAGGTAATCGCTTGTTGTTACTTCCTATAAAATATCTTTTATAAAACAAATATTTTATGAAAGGAGTGTTATTACACTGTCAAATCTTTTATAAAATATATTTTATTGAAGATCTTTGTCAAATATCTTTTATAGTCTAATACCGGCCTTAGTTGGAAAAATTAGTCCAATTAATAATTAATGCACAGGGTATTTTTACGAAGAAATTTCAAAAATTGTGAAGAGTAAAGTACCTTTGTTCTTAAAAATATCAAAAATATTTTGGATTTCTTGTTTGGGGATGGCATTAATTATATATTTCTCTCGACAGTTTTTGAAAATTCATCTTAAAAACACCCTGTACATTAATTAAGTGGACTAATTTTTTCAACTTCCTAGTTTAAGGCCAAGCAGAGATGATGCCCAGAAGGTCAAATTTCAACTCGAAAAATTTTTGACAATTGCACACCAAGTGCACTTAATCCGTGGACACACTGTATATATCTATAAGGATATAGAAGTTTAGTAATAGGCTACCAAACTTACAATATGACATTACATTATTATTACAAGAAAAACTGCATTCAGTTCCTCTCTAACTCCACCAGATTTCGATATTTTGTTCAAAAAGCATCCGTTAATAAGAAACCCTTCCTGCCATACAGCCCTCTGAAAAAAAAAGGAGTCGTTGCTTGCCATCACCTACAGCCGTCATTTTGAATCCAAATCATTTGAAAAAATTCTCAATACTCTACCCGAAAACATGTACTTACAATAAAGCCTTTTTGTACACAACACTATTATATCTTGTATCGATTTTTCCTTGAAAATCACCGTTTTACCCACCTTTAGAATGGCATTAGGGTCTATTCTGTAAGCGCCTGGGTTAAATTTGACGAATGGTAAAAATTCTGGATTTTAACGTTTTCCTCAATTCTGTAAAGCAAACTAGGACTAGGACTAAACATTCTGAAAGAATATTTAAAAATGAGACATAAAAGAGCAACAAAATAGAAATTGGACTGTAAAGAAAATATTTAACGCAGATTCGAATCAGAAATTTTATTTTATCTTTAAACAAGTGACACTTTATGCAAATAATTACTACTATCGTATAAAAGTATAAAAATTGTTAGTTGATATGTGAAATTTTGGCAGCCATTGGAGTACGGTGTCATGTCGCCATAATGGCGATAAATCGCTACATCTGGCAATTCTGTCTATGGGACAGGTGAATAACAATCACATTTTGATATCAGAATGAAGCGAGACGAGCGCCATCTGTTACAGTGTCCAAAGTTGTAAACGTATTTGATTTTCTAAACTGTAATCGGATGTGTAAATAATTTTCAGTTTTCCATGCCGGTGAATTCCTACGATTTTCAAATATGATGCATTTAAATATTAAACCATTTCTAGACTTGAATTTTGTTAATACACCTTCATAAAACCTCAAATTTCCTAATGACATATTTTAAAAACCAGTTTTGACCTAAAAAAAAAGTTTTTAGACAGTTTCTCATAGAAAATTTTATTTCTCGTAAACTAGCGAATATTTTCCAACCAAACTATGTCATTAGGAGCTTCAACAAATGCTAAACCCTTGCAACTTTTCATTAGTAATAAATTTATTATCATCTTTGAAATAATTTATTGGTGGAGCCATCTAGTTTTCCTCTAGTAGAAGTGGCCTTCTTAAAAGAAGTGGTTACCATGGAGACTAGTCTCGGACTAGTAGTTCAAACGCGCTCAAACAAATTCACGAAGAAGAAGAAGACAATGTATTGATATTTAACCTAACAATTTTAAAATTAACTTTTTAACATTTCACTGGCCCTATTTAACAACTGTTAAAAATAATCGTATATTTTGTCAAAATTTTAACCCCCCTTTAAAATTTTACTTTCCTAACAGAATAGACCCTATTACCCCTTAAAAATTCTCAATTCTAAAATAATCAAATAAAAAACTGTGTTTTCCCCACGAGTGGTTTTAAATTAATGTAACGGATGTCTGTTATTCCCGTGAATTTTCCGATGTGTTTATGGGGAGGACGTTTAGAAATCCAAAAATGTGAAATAACTTTAAAATTTAAAAGAGTTTATTTTTCATTATAATTATCATAAATTATAATACAAACAAATGTATAAGCTTAGGTTTAAGCAATAATTCAAGAGTTAAATGAGACACATTTAAAACAAAAATACACTTTCATAGTAAGTATACAATTTCCCTCCGTTCTAACCTACAAAATACACAACATAAATAGTGGGGGGAAACAATCTCGTGATCCAGTAACAGTCACTTTATCATTACGAAATAAATAAATGTGCCATTTACACATACGATACGTTGAACCCGAGTTGTACATTTTGGTTCAATCCAAAGCCATAACGAAATTTAACAAATAATTTTTATAACAATTATCTCACAGATATAAAAATTATATACATAACTTGGATTATATAAAGCAACAGGATTTCCGTAAATAAAATTACGTGACAACTTTCAATTACTCCATTAAAAATATATACAATAGTAAAATTAAGGTTACGCTAAGGACATATATAAATAAAAAGTTAAATTAGGTTATGACTTTTCGGGTGGAGGAATTATATTATACAAAAATTATCACAAAGTTAAATAATAATAATAATAATAGAGCATAAATTTCATTTTGCTAGGTATTTACATTGAATTTCATGTTAAAGACAAACTGTAATCTAACTACTAAAGCACTCGAATCATATGAACAACATTACTGTACCAACAGCGAGCCGCGTGGTTAAAGCACTCGGAACGGAAACTAACGGGCGAATCTTCATTATGGCTGATGGAAAACAACTACGAAAAAAAAAAAAAAACGGGACAGTAATCGTATTTACATTTTTCGAGCGGTTCACTTTATCCTAATCAATATATTAAGGGACTTGCTTTGCAAAAAGGAACGTATATGCAGAAATGCATTCCGGTCAATATAAAAATTCAGAAAATGCGTCAAGTTACGTTTATATACATACATTATCACATGTCCCTCTCTCAATAAATAGTCAACCAATATACATGCGGCTGCAACGCGGCGCAGACCCCACGGCCGGCTCTATAAAAATCTCTACGTTGTAATAAAACTGTTAAAAAGGCAATACAAATCCTCACAGAATACAATTCAGCCGTGACCTCTGTACCGACACGTCCGGCTTACCTATTAAGTATTTGGGGTGTTCTCACAGCTCTGCGTCACATCGGGCAAGTCCGACGCATTCTCCTCCGTCTGAGGCGTCTCCACGGTGACCTCCTCCTGGGACTCCTGTTCCTCGCTCACGTCGTCCTCCTCCCGTTCCGTTTCCGGCATCAACTCCAGCGCCCTCTCCAACGTCTTGCGGGCGCTGTTGGACCTCTCCAAGAAGTACCCGTTGGAACTCTCGTTGCTCTGAGCGGGAGGCGACCACGTGTTGTAGGCGTACTGGGCGTTAGGTGGGTACTTGCGCTCCAGCTCGTCCTGCAGCCAGGCAACCGCCGAGGCCCAGGACCTGCGGAGGTCCGCCTGCCGAAGCAGCATCGTCTGGGCCTGGCCGCATTTGCTGAACAGCGCCACCATACACTTGATGCACTGGTAAGCCCGCTTCTGGTAGTGGTTCTTCGCCCGTGATATTGTTTCGAGGAGACCTTCCCTCTCGTCGGGCACGCCTTTGATGGCATTGTGTATCCTGTGGGTCTGCCAGGAATCTTCTATCAGCAACACGGACAGGAGGATTTCTATGTGGTGCCGGAGCTCTTGGCAGTACGCGAAAGCTATCTGCCAGAGAAGTTCCGACAGCACGTTTCTAGAGAAATGGGGGTTCTCCCAGGAGCAGAACTGCAGCAACTTTATGGCTTCGTCGGTCAGATTAGTATCTTCGATTACTTTTTTTATGTAGCTAAAACAGACAACTTTGTATTTTAATCGCAGAAAATTAAAGGAGAAATAAATAGCTCAGTATAAGACGGTTTTTAGGTCCGAATTCTTGACACATGGGATGAATTCTAAGCAAAAAATGCTCTATAACGTTTTTTCCAAAAATTAATATTTTCCGAGTTATTTGCTATTGCAAATGTTGATTTTTCATCAAAAAAGTGCATGTTTTTCAACCATTTTTGATAAATAACTCGAAAACATTGCGTTTTATCAAAAAACCCATGTTAAGCAAAAATAAAGCTTTGAAATAACGAATCGATTCATTTTTTGTTGATTACCGTAGATGTAATAATAACCGAGTTATCACTCTCTAAAGGTGATCGTTTATATTTCGGAAAGTAAAATCAGACATTTTACCGTAAAATAATGGCGAAAGAACTAATTTTTTGAAGAAAATGAATATAACATTTTTTAAAGTGCTTGGAAAGACCTTTAAAATGCTTTTTGAAAAATTTTCGTAGCTCAAAAAGTTGCGGAGTTATGATGAAAATAAAAGGGTCATCTCATTTTTTCTGAGAAAAAATCAACAATAAAATCTATGGCTTTACCATAAAAATAGAAACTAAACGTAATCCATGTCGACTTTATTTATATTAATAATAGGCTCTGCAAGTTTGACCAGTTTAGAATGCCTAAATTTAAAAAAAAGTTTGAAATAATGAAAAATAAAATATTTTAATTTTTTAAAAAAATTTCCTTTTTTTCGAAATAACTCAAAATTTAAACAAGATACGTAAAAAATGCAAGGGTTCAAAATTAAAGGTCTTTTTTAGTAATATTTTTGCTTTCTTTCAATTTTTCTGTAGAGCAAAAATTAACTGAAATATTACGTTTTTTAGTTTGCTTTTGCGTGTAAGGTCCACCTTCTTTGAGACCTTAAAACCTAAAAATCTCGAAAACGAAGAGTTCAGGACCCTTCAACCATACAGGTTGATTTGTAGCTCTTGCAATTCCCTACAAATTGCTTTTTGGAGCGATGAAAAATATTAAAAATTAAAAAAGTTATTGTTAAAAAACGAATTGTACTATTCAGTGAAAATCGTCGGATCGTGAAAATGACTTAATTTCCTCTAGTTTCCTTACACGCACAAACACACACACGCACATGTCCAAACAGAGAAAGTCGTTAGTGATGATAGTTCTTTAGATGATATGTAAATTTTTGATAATAAAGTATAATTGTATAATACACAAATAATTTTTATTTTCCCTTTCACTAATTACATAATTTAAGTTTCGAATTTTAACTAATCTCACTCAATTTAGTAATGTATCGTTGAGTGTTTTGAAGCAGGTAAAAATTCTTCAATTCCTCATTAAGGGTTGTTTTTAAGGGTTGAAACGTTGCAATGAATCATCAGTAATATTATAAACAGTGACGAGTCTTTCATTCATTATAAATGCTATGAAAATGTGAAAAAAATGTTTTGCTTTATTTTCTGCAATAAGGGTGGTTTTTAAGGGTTGAAACGTTGCAATAAATCATGTATGATTTCATAAACAGTAAAAAATATTCAATTTTTCATTATTGCTCCGTCAAAACATTTCAGAGCCGCAAAAACTAATTTTTGTTTTTTTTCCTCATAAAGGGTGAATTTTTAGGGTTGAAATGTTGCTACAAATCAAAAATTATTATTCAAAACATAAAAGAATGCTTATTCTATTGACATAACACTTAAATCTATGGTTTTTACGTTTTTTGCAAGAAAGGGTAGTTTTCACCCCCTAAAAACAATAAACACACATTATGGATATGTAACTTTTGTAAAGGAGGGTGAAATGACCAGTTTTCATTAAAATCGGTGTGTGTGTCAAGAATTCGGAGGTAATACCCTATTTTTACCGTTGTATACTGGACTAAAAATCATAACAAATTATTACAAAATAGAGTGGAAAGCGAAAAGGAGATTTTGCGAGAAAGGTCCATTCAGATTTATTTTATGACAGTAAAATATGGTTTAGATATCCGTTTTGTTAATAATAAACTCTATATTACTGCGACATCACATACCTGGTACGATTAAACAATATCTCCGCCGCCTGTGGCGATATGGGCATGATGTAATCGGGGCAGGTGGGGTCTCTGTAGGGGTTGGGTAGAACGGGATTGCCATTACTAGACTGGCACTTGCCACTAACATCACAGCAACGTATGAGACAGGAAACCAACTGGTTCAGCTTCCCTAGTTCCGTGTATTGGTATTTTATGGCTGGGCCCGGGCCCTCGTCCAGCGCGACCAGCATAAAAGTGGCCGGTACGTTCATCCTCAGCAACTGGGCCTTCTCTTGGATGCCTAGATTAAAGCGACATTAAATAAATCATAAAAAAAAGCCAACGCTCGCGACTCACCTTGGTTGGCGTACATGTGGAAAACGGTGCAGTAATGGGGCAGGTGCCTGCCGTGTTCGCTGACTTCCCTCTGGAGTAGCGCGAGAAGGGCCCAGAGGATATGATCGCTGAGAGTCGCCGAGGGATCGTTGATATTGATGGAGGGGGGAGGGGGAGACGGTCCGTCGTTTATAGAGAAGTGCGCCAGCAAGACTATTATTTTTATAAAGGCGGACCGCACCTCGTTGCTGGGGCAGCTCAGTAAGTATTCGCAAAATCTACTCATGTGGTTGAACAGCATGTTGTGAGCGAACCAGGAGCGTATCGTGGCGGAAGTGCGGAGGTGTAGGCACAACACATCACACCTTGAATTATAAGAAAATTGGTTAAAAAATACAATGAGTACAATATGCAAGGTGCATATTAAACTTTTACCAAAATATTCCCTGGTCGATGCATAAAAATTTATCCAGTTTATTAGAATATAAGCTTTTATGATAGACATCAGTTACCATTTCTCAGTCATCCTCATTTCCTAAATTTTTTATCAATATTTTATATTTAACAAAGTAGGGTTATTTAAAAAACTATGCAAAGACTGACAGAACAGAATTAAACCGTCTCGGTTAAATTCTACTATTACTAATTTATTTTGACTGAATTTAGACTTCTGCATCGAAACTAAATGTTTTTTATTACTCATGCGGGATAGGTTTTTGTTTTTTTAGGTCGATAAATAGCTGTTCTCTATTTATTTGCTTGCGGTAATCACACTTGATAATAAAACGTTCAAAAAAACTACGCAAATCTATTCTAGAGAGAATACTCAAAAATATTATTTTGAAAAACTGACATTTAAAAGACAGTTGACAGTTATTTATGTCAACCTAAACTGAATATTGGAAACAAATAAACCAGATAGTTATACAGATATGCCCACGAGAGCGGAGTTGAGCCCACGAACGAAGTGCACATACTATTTTTTATTACTAATGAAATGAAATCTTACGAGTCCAGGGGCGAAGCCCCGGTGGGAACCACATATTTTTATTCAGTTTAAGTTGATATAAGTAACTGTCATTTAAATGTCACTTTTTAAAAATAATATTTTCGAGTGTGTAGGTATTTAAATTTTGCGTGTTTTATTGGCAATTCGCGTGCGACAACTAAGATTACCGCACGCAAATAATAGAGTGGGCAAACAGCTAGTTACCAACCTAATAAACGTGAAAAGATAGGACTTATCCGTCAAGAGTAATAAAAAACTGAAAACTATCCAAATATACAAGTATTATTTTCAGGTCATATTATTCAGAAGAGTATTTTGAGAAAGTACATTAACTCTATTTACAATACTGACAAATGTGTCTTTGATAAAATATTTAGTTAAAAATAAAAGCAGTAGAATTAAAATGAAACTATTAAATAATGTAATCTTTCAAATAATCATCTTGTATTTTTGTTGTTCTAACATCATTCTAACATCACCCACAAATCATCACCAACCAAAAAATAGCCACTATAGAGAGATCTTACTATTTCCGCATTTGTTTCATCGAGTGGCCTCCTTGCGAATGGAACAAAATTATATAAATAACGCACAAGTTTTAGAAATAATGACATTTTGAAAGGACAGTATCAAGTGTTAACAATATTACTTTTATATTAACTTTTATAAAATTTTATAATATAAAACAGGGTGTTTGGTAAGTCGATGCAATCCTGGCAGGAGGTTATAGTACAGGTGATTTGTGAAATATTTCCTTGATATACCACAGAGGTGGCTGGTCAGGTGCCGCAAGTGACGCACCCGCACCGCTTCACCTAAAATTTCCTTTTGGTTGTGCAATTTAAAATTATTTAAATTTTATAATTTAGGTATAATTCTATATTGAAAATGTATTGCGTTTCTTTGTTTAATACGCAGAAATAAACAGAATAGTTGCACGGTGAACGCCTTCTAAAAAAACATTGCCTTCATTAAGCGCGAACATCAACCTCGTACCGTACAATGTTTAGTATATGCAATAGACGCAGATTGAAACAGTCTGAATTCCGCTTCTCTTCGAAGCGTTGTTGATGCGGGTTGTCATGGCAACGAAACGTCCTACATGGGAGAAACTTACGCCGTGGGGGAACGAGTGACGCGGATATTGAAGCAGCATTCAGCAATTCAGCATCCTCTATATGTCATCGGCACCACAGCATCGCCCATCGCCTGCCTTGAAACAGTTTATACGATACGTGTCGCCCAATGCACGATTATAACTGTTTTTAGTTAATATTTGTTTTGTATAATAATTGTAGAAATGTTTCCTATGTATGAACCAGTATGTATTTTATTGGAAACGCCATTTTCCAGATGGAAAATTGAGGACAAAAAGGATTTTTTAAATTGCGAGAGACTGTTGCCTTATTCTCTGGATATGGAAAAAAGGGGAAGTTAAAAGACAATGTGTACCTTTGGAAGTTTTGGAATGAATGGTATTCAGAGTATAAGTGGTTGTGTGGAAGTGTTTATTCTGTATGCCGTGTTTAATTGTGGGTGTAAAGTCGGGCGTGTAGAATAAGGGGGGATTTAACAATGTTAGGAAAGTCATGCGAGGCTGTAGTAACCACAAAGCTTCTTTGGAACATACAAGTACGGTGTGCGTTAATGTTCGCAGAAGTCTACAAGCCGAACTAATATTTCTATTTTTTATAAAATCTAAATGAAAATCCTACTCACGAACGTCAATTTTCGGAAATATTTCAAATGCAACTAAAAATTTCCAGATTCATTTAAAGCTGTTTGACCTTGAAAATTTGAAATTTTTTTTTTCTTTTTAGTCAATCAATCAATAATATGCTTCACCTATTCTCAATGTCACGCTACTGATATACCATATTCTGAAAACGCTTAGTTTCTGATCTACAGGGCGATAGTTTTAATAAAAAAAATACAAATTTATAAATATTGTGGAAACTTCTCAGAACAAGCTTTGATAATTAACAGCAATGCATGTTTTACGATAAAAATATTGGTTTCCCCAATGGCTTGCGCACAAGCATGTCTTTGGATATTTTTAAAGAAAAAAAAATGATACGCCACTGGTTTTTCTTAAAATAAAAATTATTTTTGAATTCCTTGTTGAATTTGGAAGAGAAAAGGTATCTTGACTGTTTTTCTTATGACGCACCATTTTCGAGTAAAATCAATTTATTGTATGGCGTAATCCGGTTTCAATAATTTGAAAAATAGCGAAAATTATGCACTTTTTTGTACCAATTTTATTACAAAAAATTATTATTCCTCGCAGTTAACATCAGTCTAAAAAATTTGTATCAGTTTTTAGATTCACTATTCACTATCTAAACAGAAATTAGCAAGTTGGCTGTGCACTCGTTTTTGTTACTGATCGATACTTTGAGTGTAACACCGGTTGCACACATGCCGGAACTGGCTAACCGGATCCGGTTACCCGGCAGCAAATTGTACAGAGCCTTATGGCAGCTTTCACATGTGACAGAAAGAGGTATCCGGCGAACGGCCGCTGGGTTGTAGCCGGTCGCCACCACTGTCAGCCCGGCTGCCCTGTATCGGCCAGCTATCGACCAAAGTGGTAGTAGTGCGTAGTTTTGTATTGACGATTCCACACTTACCGGGTGCTTGCCAGGTTTTAGTCGTCCAGTTTCATTGGAAAGAACAGGATGTGTCAAGTATTTTTTTAAATATTTGTACGCAACTATGTCGAATGTTTGTTCGCTAGAAGTAGATATTGAATTCTTTATAGCACTAGTTGAAACCAGATCTGTCCAATGGGACAAAACTTTAGCTTTTTCATATTTTTTGGATATTTTTCATGTTTTTTATTTTTTATTGCGACGACGTCGACAATAGCCAAGCCACAAAATTACAATGCGTATATGATCCATCTCTCGTTGTGATAAAAATGCAACTGAGACTAATATCGGCCAAAACGGTTTGAAAATTAAATTACGTGTGAAAGAGTTAGCCGGATCCGGCAAGTGTGAAACGAGTCTTAGAGTGTGAAGCAGTGCATAATTTCTGTTATTTATAAATCGATTTTATTTTTTTACTCGAAAACGGTGTGTCATAAGAAAAACGGTCGAGATACCTTTTCTCTTCCAAATTGAACAAGGAATTGAGAAATAATTTTTATTTTAAGAAAAATCGGTGGTGTATTTTTTTTCTTTAACGATATCTGAGACGTGCCTGTGCGCACGCCACTGGTGAACCTGAAAACACTATTTTTATTGCAAAACATGTATTGTTGTTAACTGACAAAGCCTGTAAAATTTCATTAAAATATTCTTAGCGGTTTCCGCAATAGTTATAAATTTGCATTTTTTTATTAAAATGGTAACACCCTGTAGATCGGAAACTAAGCATTTTCGGAATATGGTATATCAAGGAAATATATCACAAATCGCTTGTACTATAACCTCCTCCAAGAAATGCATCGACTTACCAAACACCCTGTATATTTTATTATTAAGTATCACATTTTGTACTCTATTTAAACAAATTCATTTTTTTTCCTAGAAAATCGTATCGGATGAAGTCACACAATGTTCTATGATATCAAAAATCTAGGCATGCAGAAGATATCTAAAGACGTTAATTAATTTATTAATGCTTACCATTCCATCGCAGGCCCCCGTAGGTTCTTCTTGGTGTGCCACCCAGTGTGAAAGAGAAAATTACTGACTAGCTGAACACTGAGTAGGTACTGTTGCTCCAACATTTCATTCGACAGTGCCTGGCTATGCCGCGGATTGCCCTGGGCGCAGCTGGTGGCTAGTTTCCTTATAAACGAGAAATATTCTATCGAAAACTGGCTTCGGTGGTGTAAGAACTTTATGTTCTGCTTCCTGATACTGTTCTCGATAGCCACTGGCATCTTTAAGTGCGTCTCCTTCCTCGTACCGGCTACAAAATGAAAATAAACGCATTAAAATAATACTCCCGACGAACCATTCGTATCGCACTTACAAATCGTCAACAGATTAAGAGCCTTAACTATCGCTTCTTCTTCCACGTCGTGCCTAGTGTAGAACAACATGTAGGCGTTCCACCACCGTTTTTGTCTTCGGTACGTGGTCCTTTTCAACATGGGATCAAATACTTCCCCCATGTAATCGCCTCCGAAACATTGGATTTTCATCTCCTCGTCTTCGCCCATCCGACACTCCGAGACGTCTCCGTCGTCAAATTTGTACCACCTAACCTCTCCAGAGGGATCCCGGCTTCGGATATATGAATAATAATGTCCACCTACGCATTTAATTGTACTTAGTTTTTTTTTTTTTGTAAGACAGAAAAGTGTACTAACCTGAAGCTTGTCCTGAGTGCACGACGATACCAGAGAGACGATATTTAGTACAAACTTCGCTCGCGTTAGGATCTGAATCACAGTCTATTATCTCTCCCTCGATTTTAGCCAGGCCGGAAACCGTGTACGGCTCCATATCCAGTTCTCTGGGGAACTCGAAATAATCGTTAAATTTGATGGCACACACCCTCTCAAAATCGTATTCGAACCGCTTCAACTGGATGCCCAATATGGGGGGCAGCTTCTTCACACACAAACGCTTCACGGTCACAACTTTCTTCGCACACTTTTCACAGTAATAGGCGTCGGCGCCCTCCAACAACTCTCCTAAAGTTTCAAATATACACTCAACAAGCATTGCAAATTAACGAATTTAAACAAAAAAATGCCACCACTCACCCTTAACGTACTGCTCCATAGAATCCTGCAAGCTGCTGTGATTCCTTATATCGACGCTAATAACACTGAACGGTTCTTCTTTGGAATAACGATGTGGACATCCCTTACAGATCTTTTGATCGGAATACGACCCACCCAATATTTTAGACATGATCTGCTCGTGTCCCAACGTTTTTAAAGCTTCGTCCAAACTTTCCACCAATGACATAAAAAATTCCACAGCGTCCTGTTGTTCCCTTAAGTTAACTGGCTCACCTGAAACCTCGAGTTACATTCCCGGAACTATAAATTTAAATTCGTGAGGTACCTTGAAGTTTAAAATGTCTCCAAAGTCCCCTAGGCACATAATATTGAAGGCGTGAACAGGCCAAATGGCCAAATATGGCTTGTACTTGTTTAAGGATTCCCACGTTGTAATCCTTCCTGTTATCGTCTAGACAATTACGTTCGTCAGTGCAATCGAAATCCAGGTCCATCTTCTCCTCTCCTGTGAAATCCTCGTTTGGATCTGTGGCAGCTCCTTCGGCAGCCAGAATGCCCTCTTTTATGCTATCCACCATGTATAACTGCTGAAGGATGGAGTTCATGTAACAGGTAGCCCCGGCATTCTTCAAGCCAACGAAACCTTGGAAGGGTCGTGGGCCGACGGCGGGGAGATAGTCCCATTCGGTTATCGCAGAATCTGGGTCTGAAAACATATGTCTTTGTTTTTAACATTCTCTATAATTTTAATTAATTGAATGAACACAGCTTATACCATCTGCTGAACATCACAATTAAGATATTAATGAACAGAATAAACCCTGTACCATTTGTTAGATTAGTAATTCAAATGTACCATGGTTATTTTAAGGTTAGAATCTTATTTTGAACTACATAAGTGGTATACACAACTCACAATTGAAATTGATTGTTAATTTAAAATTTTTCATCCAGCTTTTATGGTTTAGAAACACAAAAATATGTGATGTATCTGCTAAAAGAACAAACAAGTAATAATTTTGAAACTCGTGGATGTGAATTATTATATCGCTCTATTACTATATTTTATAATATTACTGTGTTTGATTTTATTAAAAATATGTAATGTTTGGCCTCACATTTCTGTAACTCTTACAGATATTTTTACGTCAGTACATTGCACTTACAGATAAAAATCTTTTGTTTAATGTAAAGCCAGGCAAAAAATAAATCGTATCAGGTTAAAAATGTGTATTGTTGTAATGTATTTGAACTCCACTCACTTTCATGTAAAAAACAGTAACCACATACATTTTAAATACATTAAAAGCAATTCTAGTTCATGGGCTTAAAGAGTGACCGCAAAAAACCTGTGATTTTCGCCCATTTTTTCACAATTCGCAGAGAATTAAAAAAAAATACATAAAAATGTTTTTGGTCACAAATTACTTGTCGTAAAAAATTGAAACGAGCATAGCTTTTAGTATTTTGAATATTTTAAAAATCACCACTACTTAGGGGTTGAAAAATATTAAAAATGAAGTATTTGAATATTACCAATTGATATAAAAACTAGTAGCATGTGAATTATCTTTATATATATATATATATATATATTGGAATTTTTACAATTATTTCTGATATTCTCTATTTATGGGGATGATTCCACCCCCTGAGCACGCTTAAGGGTGGATTTTCTAATTCAACATGCTTATTTCAGTCATGAGAATAAATCTTTCTTTGTCATTCGGTAGAAAAATTCACATGATAATAGTTTTTATATTTATTGGTAATATTCAATTCTTCATTTTGGGTGTCTTTTCAACCCCTAAATAAGAGTGATTTTTGAAAATTTTCAAAAAACTAAAAGCTATGCTCATCTTAATTTTTTACGACGAGTAATTTGGGACCAAAAACATATTTTCATCTATTTTCTTTAGTTCTCTGCGAATTGTGAAAAAACGGGCGATTTTTACAGTCACTCTCTTGATAGGCTGCTTAAATTATAATGCAAATCATTAAACAGACATCTATTATAGTCCTTGTAGAGAAGTTACATATAAAATGGTACTATTTGACAGATATTTCTATAGGGGCATTTGCAACCAAAATTGAAACGTTTGAACTACTCCATCAGATTTTTAAGATTCCGTTAAAATTATTTTATCGTTAATGGTCACCTTAAATTTTGACACAAAAAATAGAAATTCTTATTTAACGCATCTGTTAAAAATTTGCAATTTTAACATGCATTTCAAATTTAATGGTGAGGCACATAATTGCCCCTATAATCCACTAAAAGTACACTGAATTCATTATCCACTATCTAGAGCTTGATTCTATAATTGTGTACCTCTGTTTGGACTTTAATAATTATTTTCAAGACTAGTAGTTCAAATGTACCAATTATTTTTGAGGTTAAAATTTTACTTCAAACTACTGTCAACCTTCATCAATAATTGCATTTAACCATGCAAGCACTGAACAAATTCCTGAAAATTTACAAGCATCCCCACAAGACAGTACGTACAAAGTGAGGTTAATTTATTTTTATAGATACAAAATGCTTTGTAAACTTAAAATTCATATTAACATTTTGTGGCAATATACTTGCAGCTCAATTTTTCTATAAATAACTTGAAGTAATCCATTTTAACTAACCTCAACAACTTAAAGTGCCCAATGCCAAAACGAATTAATAAATCATCGTCAAATAAAAGAGCTATATAACGTTCTTACCTGAATAAAACATTTCGTTGAGCATACTGACTAACTGCCTGTAATTCTGAACACAATTCAAGCACAGGGAAATCAAGAGATCGAAAGCAGCGGCTTGCGTCTGCGGGGTATCGCAAATCGGTATGGCGGGATCCTCCCCAAGCTGTCCGGTCTTGCTGAGCTGCAACATCAGCTTACTTGCAGGGAACAGGAAGTCCTCCAGCAGTTCCTTGATCAAGCTGCCCGATTCGGCGCTGCCCAGTTCGCACTTCTGCTCCGTCGACATGAAACTGAGCAACTCCTTGGCCAGACTGAGATGTCCCTCTATGAGCACTTCGTTTTTACCCCTGGCCTTCCTGAGCCAGGCCACCTCGTTAGCCAAGAGGTTCTCTGCGTTGGAAAGTGGGCAACCGGTGAGGTAAGCTACGTTGACTAGACGGCACAACAGCTGAAAGAATTCATGCGAAGTGTTTGCGTTCTCCAAGACCAGGGAGTTGAGCAGGGAGAACAACAGGGGCGTAATCAACTGCAGAGCCAATCGGCTGGCGGCGCCACAAGTACAGATGATGATAAGCTGTTCCGCTGCGGCGATCCGCACCGCGCAGCTTGGATTGAGGAGGACTAGGTCGGTGATGAAATAAGGCCACCAGTTATCCTGATAGAGGTGCTCCAGACTGCTGGGGTTGAGCACCACGGCCGTACTCAGCAGTTCCAAGGCCTCCTTGCACAGGAGGATGTCGTCGTTGTCAAGATCCATGGGGGTCTTCTGGTTGCAGGGGTCCGAGAGGGAGTGAAGCGTTTCGGGGGAGGCGTTCAGAGCGCTCAGATTGTCGCTGCTGGCCGCCCACACTAAGCGTACTAATGCCAATGTCGTTGCTAGGTCGGGGAGTTCCCAGTTGAGGGCCTGGCTGAAGAGAGCGTGAGCTTGTCCGGTGCCCCCGGTTTCTGCCACCATCAGCTGCGCCAGGCCCTGTGACAGTTTTATGGACACCTGACGTAACAACTGGAAAAAAAAAGAATAAATAAACCCTAAACAAAACAACTACCATGTTTAAAAAATACATTACAATCTGTTTATCAGTGTTTTAGTTTAAAAACACGGTAAAAAAAATTCTTACATGATCCGAGTGTCCTGGCACATTTCTCAACGCCTGCCTCAAATACATCCCCGGTGTCGTCGTATTCTCGCTAACCGGCTCGTTTTCCGGAGGCGTGTGGTCTTCGCTGAGCCTGACCAGCACGTGGGCCACCGACGTCAGGATAAGCTTGCAGATCTTCAAGACGACCAAGTAGGCCGACCTGCGAGTGGTGTTGTCGGCGCTGGACATGAAGTTGTTCTTCGTCAGCATCTCCAAAAAGATGTGCGCCTCGCCCGACGTAAGGAAGCTGTATTGGAACTCGTACGATTTATCCGACAGGGTATCCAGAGCCGGCATCAGCATCGCGTACAGCACTTCTAAGTTGTACAGAACCTCGGCAGGAGTGGCGCTGAAAAACATGGAATCCATGGTAATGTTCTGCTCACCCGGCGTAGTGAATAGTATCCGAAGCTTCTCTATCGTCATCACGTCACAGGGTATCAACTGTAAGAGAGCATGGCCCCCGTTCCTGAGTATAGGAAAGTCCAGGGTGCTGCCCAGGGCCATTAATTGACAGAAGAACTGAGCGTAGACCTGCTGTTGCGACATGAGGACGCCCGGAAGTTGGTTTTCCGCCTCGACGTTCGGTCCGTCGTAAGGGTGTTGCGGGGAGGAGGTAGAGCTGTCCGAACTGCTGTCTTGGGAGGAGGCTATGTTCGAGCTTATCTGTATCACCTTGGCCGAAATGAGCTGGAAAAATCGATAAAATAAGAGTGTAAGTAATTATTTAATTATTTACATGTCAGGGACCATTTTTAGATCAATATTCAAATCATTTTGAGCCACTAAGGAAATGCATGGTATGATAATCGCTAACGAGTTGTTAGTTGGCACAAAAATTTGAGTCTTTCTTGAAAGTAGTAAAGATTCAAAGAAAAATTTCCCCGACTCCACATGTTTTTCATATATCAAAGTTGAAAATTCAAGAGTGATTTTCAATTCTTAATTAATACCTTGAGAGAACAGTTAAAAATTAAAAAAATATAAATAGAAAAGATTTTTGCAACAAGAATTTCCTTCCAATGGCATCAAAAATGAGATGTTTCTAACAAGGAAAAAATTACTGGAGCATCATCAGATACTGTTGTACATTTGAGCGACAGCCTTTGAAGATAATGTCATAAAACACTGTTCCAGGATTATCTTCAATAATTTTCAAGAAAGACACATTTCCGATGTTGTATTGAAAAGCTGTGAGCACAACAGAAAAATATTTGATAATACTAAATCCCTAAGTACATAAATGGCCAATAAAATGTGTTTGAATTGTTTTTAGACAATTTGGAACATTAAAGCGAAAATATTTTTACAAAAACTGTTGTTTTTAGTCGACTTATGCTAACCCCGGTATATTCCCTAGACAAATTAGCCCAGTCGATGGAGGCCACAGAAATAAGTAACTAGCAATATGGCTGATTTTTTTTTATAAGTACTTCAAAGTATGCAGATTAATATAAGAAAAAGTTCATTGGTTCGATTTCCCAAAGTCCAAAAAAATGTTGAAAACATGTTGATTTTTGAAATTCTTTAATATTTTGGACTGGGATAAAGATGGAGAAAATTGTCCAAGCTATAGTTTGGTTGGAAAAAATTCAATAAACCAGGTATAAATTCCATGTGGAAGCTCGGCCAGCCGCGAGAACCTATTTTTTGAAGCCCGGCGCTCTACGTTATAAACTATTTCATAGTTATAGGGTATTAAATTAATAATTGTGATAGTCTATTTTCAAGTAGAAAGTCTAAACTTTTCAGTGGTATAATTTTTTTTTTCAAATAAAATATCGAATAAAAAATTACGCATATACATATAATCGAATCGAAAAGCGAGCATCTCAATGACGAACATACTTAAACATAAGGATTGTTCGAAAAATGTTTTTCAACGTCGGTAATTGTTATTTAGGTGACCTCTTCACAAATAAAATTTCTGGGTAATGGATTTTATCTAATTACGAAATTTGACCCTTGTAGTTATTTTAAAAACTTTAGGAATCTTGAGTTTACGGCAAAATATACAGGGTGATCTGGATAACATCAGGAATTAATAGAATAGGTTAAAATAATGTTCATTCATGATATAAATATACTTCCTAAATCGCACCCTTTTGGAGATAGAGGGCGTTGAAGTAGGAATCTTTTTCCCGTTTTTCCCTCATAACTTTTGAACCACTCATCCGATTGAAGTGAAATTCGGAACACAAATACTCCTTATGATCTTACATAAGCTTCTTAAGTTTGAACCACCTACCCTTCTTAGAAGTGTATCTTACATTATTTCAAAACTTTAAAAAAATTAATGAATTTCAATAAAACAGCACACCACCTTTGCCTCATTAATTTTGAAACTTTTCGTCTCTTGTATTCTTTCGATATTTGGCCTTGTTTTTGAGATATTCAATGAAATTCATGCCCCAGCCGCGTAAATTTCATTTAACGTTATAGCAACCCATGAAAAACAAAACTCACAGTGATTTGTATACACTGACATTTGTGAAAATCATCGTTAAAAGTATTATTAAGTTCAAAAGTTATAACTCTGAAACGGTGCGACTTAAGAAATAACTTTATACCATTATACCATGAATGAACATTATTTTAACCTGTTCTATCGATTCCTGAAGTTATCCAGATTAAACCTGAATCACCTTGTATACATACATATATTAGCCTCTGGAACTTTATTAAAACTAAAACTAATTTGACTGAGACTTTTTTAAAAATGTTGGGGGAATTACACAGATTAAGAATCTCTAAACACAAATTCATTTGGTATGAACGTTTTTCACTTTTAATGAATTTTTGTACAAGAAAATAGCAATTTTTCTGGTTCCCTGTGTAAATTTCCTTTGATCGTTTAATATAAAGTTTGATACTGTTAAAATATGAAGACAAATATTCAAAGAGTAGAATGTAAATAGTCAACAGGTATGAAGGTATCCAGGTAGGAAATACAGTATACATGAAAAACAATGATTCTACGTAATTTTGTATTTAATTTTTTTCCTATGATTTTGTAATAAAAATATGTATACAGGGTGTAACTTTAAATGGGTGTCAGTTTTGTTACGGGCAATAGTACATGTTTCCCTGAATGCGAATCTGAAATTATTTTTTTTAATCAAATAAAAATTCGAGTTACAATAATTTTTTTAAACTGCGCTTTAATTCTTGTGTACGCCGCCACTGAACAGAGTAAACCAGCGCTCCCGGAATTTACGTATGAAGTTATATTCCTCACTGCCGGCGTTGCTAGTTGCTTTGATACCAACTGCATTGAGCGAAGTTAAACAATAATTTAGCAGATCAGATTGTTTTTGTATAATTTACGGACTTGTTATTTTAAAGCCATCACATTTTTTTGATATTGTGGTAGAAAAGCCAAACTCGAAAAAAAGATTTACACGATTTATTAAATATTAACTAATATTGGTACGTAGATATGTTACTAATTGTAAATAATTTTTTTTTAATCAACTGCTACACAACGAAACTAATGACAATAATTTAGTGAAAACAGATTGCTTTTCTATGACACGTGATATTTTAGTCACCATATTATTTTTATGTCAATGTGGACGAAGCTGCCAAACATCAAAAAAATTGTTTTTAAACAATTTTTTATTTTTACATGATTTATTACGCATTAAAGTAAATTATTGGTATGTAAATACGTTACTAATTGTAAATAAAACTTATTTGTGTTTTAAAATAATTATTTTTACTGTTTTAAAAAACTAACAATAAAACAAATGAAAATACTGATCTGATTAATATGAACAATTTTTTTTAATCGCGTTTTTATAAACATTTATGTTACTGTTTTTTTAAGAAGCGCATATTTTACTTTTGAATGTCAGTGTCAATGACCGTAACACTGACCTAGTTTTACTGTTACATACAAGAATGTTAAGAAATACGCTTACGAATGGGTTGCAGGTGTTCCGATATGACGAGTAAATGCATTAAATACAAACTGCCACGTTAATTCGGCAGAACGGGGTTGACCGAATATATCGTCTCTTAAAAGCTGTTGGTATAGTACCGTTGTGTGGTGTAAGTGTAAAACCTTATAAAGTTATTTATTTCAGTGTATGTGTGTATTTAGTGACGGTACAGTGTATTGTGTTTTCTTTTTCAAGTTTTAAGTGATACTATGAAAAAGGATCAAGAAAGAGCTGATTGATTAGAGCCTACTTTCTGTCCGAAGAAAACGATTCTACTGCAAGAAGACGATATCAAATGGATTATCCCAAAGAGCGGTACCTCATGGCAGGTGATGTGAAATTTGCTTTTTAATAATCTTTTCTTTAAATTATGAGATTTGGCAACGATGCATAGTCCAGTTGTCAATTGTGCATGCGTTGCGACAAACACGTGCCGCTGTTTGAGATCACACTAGCTTGTCCAGAGGGGGGATAGGAAAATTATAAAAAATTGGTTTAAAAAGAAAATAGTTTTTACAACGGAATTTGAAAAAATAAACTATTGATACGTGTTTCTAAAGGTCAAAGGTAGCCTCTGTGTAAATATGACCCCCACTTAAAGTTACACCCGGTATAATTTATTATTTACTACCTTGAGTATATTCGAATATCTAAAAAAGAAATTTTGAAAATTTTTTAAAATTTTTTATTTTATTTGCATTGAATTAAGATCGAATATTCATTTCTACATATTAATGTATTCAATATTTGAGTGAAATTTGACAATTTTTACGTTTGAAGAGTGAATTTATTCGCTTGTTTGCCCGCGGAAAATGACTTCATGGCTTTAATAATTTTTTCCAGACAAACCATAGCTCGGACGAAAAAAATGCATAGTATCTTATCTGTCAGAAAAAACTTGGGTAGTATTTTTTATTTTTCTCTAGATACCGATCCACAATATTAAAGAATTTCGGAAATCAAAATGTTTTTCAAAATTTGTTTGGACTCTGGGAAATCAATAAAGCAATGAACTTTTTCTTATATTAATTTGCATACTTTGAAGAACTTAAAAAAAAAAAATGCCAAAATGCCAAATAACTGGGCCCTTGGGAGAAAAATAACTTCAACGAACGGGCAAAAAAAATCTTTTTTTAAGTTTAATACAACTAACATGCACGTAAATATATTTTTTGGAATATTTCTTGAACTGAAATTTTTGGCTCTTTTATTACCCACACCCTACACCTCTGCTTTTCGTATTTAATCTGCACTTACCATCTTGTCTCGAATCGGAATCTGCGACAACAGTTTCCTATCATCGGCGGGATCGAGCGGCTCCCCGTTAACGAAAAGCTCCAACTTGCAATGGATCCCGGGCTTTATCCTCCTCAGAATGTACTTCCTCAAGGAGGCCAACGTATCGTTGGAGTGCGTGTATAATTCCAAATCCTCCACCTGCCTGCTCGGACTGGAGAACCTCACGATCAAAGAAAGGTGCTTCCCGTGACAGGCCCTGTGCAAGGGCAGGATCTTCCTCTCCCCCACGAAAGCATTATCACATTCACTAATATACTCGTGTAACACTTTCAGCACCCGGCACATTTTCACCGCCTCGCCCCTGATCCGATTCTGGATTTGATTGGTGTCAAACTCCTTGTCATTCGAGGATTTCTGCAGGACCGTGACGGTGTCGTAGTGGGCCCGGAGCCTGTCGTAGCATTCCGTTATGTAATTCTCGTGGAATTCCAACTGGGACTGTAGCAATCTCGGGCCCAAGTTGGTGCTCACTTCTCGTAGCAGTTCTATGGCTCTCGCCGCTATGTCGTCCGGGCACGAAGTTACGACCTTCCAGAGGTAGTCCAATCCGATGAGGTCGGGATCTTCCGTCAGCAGGGACCTCCGTTTGATCTTCAGCTTGCCTTCCTTGGTGTTGACCGCCTTGAAGAATCTCTCGAAACATTTGATGCCGCTCTCGGTCAGTAGAACGGGGTCTATCTGTAATATGTTGTTTTCGAAGAAGTCTTTGTTTATGCCGGGGTCCAAGTCTGGTTCCTCGCCCATTAATTTCGAGAACCACTTGAAGCAGGCCTCCCTGTCCGACTGGAATACGGCGTTTTCCGCTAGGCACTGCCAGATCTGCTTCGCTTGCTCCGCGCACAACCACAGTTGACCATCTTTTAGGAGGAATCTGAAATGAAATAATCCATTTATTTAGTGAAGGTCTATTGTTTAATGTTAGTTTTAGTGTATGAGTTACAACAAAATTCTTCAGTACAAGCTCCTCAAATCGCAAAAACACAAATTATTATGCAACAGTATACGAATGACAAATTTTTGACAAATACTTCTGTCACTCTAATATTCTTCGATGATGTTTTGTTTTCCACTAATGATATTGTGGAAATCAACTACTCTGTGGACTACAATCAATACTCGCAAAGTAGAGGTGAGAAGTTCAATTTTTTTTTTGGTATTTTTGGTATCACAAGTATTATCAGCAGTGCGACAATAGACTCTTCGAGTTTTCATGTTCGATTCGGTACACACTCAACTGATTCGAGACAAAACGGTTCCATTGAAACAAAACTAATCGTCCGAGTCCCTGAATCAGAAAAGGATCGAATCTGAGAAAACTGATAATTCAAACAAATGAATTAATATTCATTTGATTCAGCAAATTGAATCATTCCTTCCAAAAGGATTGTAAAACTATGTTTTGTTTAAACTACTAAATATTTTTGTCATATGTTGCGAAATTAACGATGAACCTATTTTGGGAAGACAAAGTAAAAATCAAATTGAATTTTTGCCAAAAAAGTCAGACAAAAAGTAGGTGGGGTAAAAATATTAATATAGTTAGACAACCAGTCAAACTTAGGAAGGAAAATACTAGATGACTCGTATAAAATCCCCATTACTCTTATTATCAATGAATGTGATCAATTTTAGAATCGATTCCACCATCTAGTATTTTCCTAGTAGTTTGACTGGCATAACCAAAGCTTAACTTTCTAATATAATCCAAGATATGCCTTTTTAACGACATTTTTTTTAATTAAATGTATACTTGGAAAAATGTATTTTGCTTTTTAAAATTGTCCCTTACAGTCCTGAGGATGATTTCAAATTAAATTGAAACGTCGATTTAACAAAAAACTCAATTACCCGAAAAACTGACAAGCTAATTTTAATTATTAACTAGAGAAGAAAACAAAACACAGAAATGAGCTATCACATCACGGGAATTTCCTAACCTTAAAAAACAGCAGAAATTCACAAAAAAGTGAATACAACAAATTTTTTTTTCTATATTCAAATGTTCATTTATTTAAGACCATGCTGAACGTGATTCCGCAGTCAGAATTGATGGTTCTTTTTCTAACCTCAAGAAAACGCTGATCACGGATCCGAGGTCAATTTTGCAAAATTCAAGATGGCGGCTCCAAGATGGCCGACCAAATTTTTAAAAAATAAAAGATTAGCGCCAAATTTGGTATACGGGGGTTTTCGTGGTCGCTGATCACGAATTCGAGGTCAATTTTACAAAATTCAAGATGGCGGGCGACCAAATTTTCAAAAAATAACACATCCATGCTAAATTTGGTATATGGGGAGTTTTCGGGGTCACTGATCACGAATCCGAGATCAGATTTACAAAATTCGTTTTTAAAAATTTTATCATCATTACCCATGTATTTTATTAAAGGTTAAAACATGTTTGGGTACAAAAATATTACAAAATGAATTTCGAAATTCTGACCTCGAATACGTAATCAGCGGCCCTGAAAAACCCCATATACCAAATTTGGTACGAATCTGTTATCTTTTAAAAATTTGGTCAGCCATCTTGGATCGGCCATCTTGAATTTTGCAAAATTGACCTCGGATCCGTGACCCGAAAATCCCCTTATACCAAATTTGGCGCGAATCTCTTATTTTTTGAAAATTCGTAATATTTGACCCGTTTTTTTGAGATTAGAAAAAGAAGCATCAATTCTGACCGCAGTTTCACGTTCAGCAGGGTCTTAACCATATAAATGAACATTTGAATATAAAAAAACAAATTTTTTTTGTATTTCTCCTTCACTTTTTCGTGAGTCTTTGTTATTTTTGAGGTTAGGAAATTCCTGTGATATGATAACTCAATTCTGAGAACGGATTTGTGATCAGGAAGCAAAAATACTACGGATAACATATGTCGCATGAAAAGTACACTTTTTTTTTATGTATGGTTGTGATATCTATCGTTTGAAATATTTTCAAATTTGAGATTTTGTTGAAAAAAATAACGTTCCAACTAATGATGGAAATTTTCTTTTACTAAAGAGTAAAAATTGTTTAAAAAAAAACACATTTTTATTTTATTTTTATTGTAAGTGTAATAGTGGCTCATAACGTTATTTTTTCTTAAATTTTTGAAATAAAATACTGAAAAGTGTCTTGATTATTATGTTACCAGAAAAGTAGTATTTTACAGACTATCTTTTCAAAACATTCATTAAGAGAAGCGTATACTGAAAAAAGACATTACACGTAAAATTTAGCTCATCCGTAACGCTTACCTGAGAAAATGCAGTCTTTCTTGAACTTGTAAAGCATGACAGTACCGGCCGTCGGGGACATAGGTCTCGCTAGTCAGCTCGGGATTCTCCTTGTAAAGCGTACGCAAATGGTCCATGTAAGTGGTGAGGCTGTTTGTGACCAAGATTACCAACGAATGCTGATTCTGCAGCCTCTCTATGACCTCCTGCCTGTAGTAGATGTGGTGGGTGCGTTGCGCGTGTCCCCCGTTCGTATTCTGCTCGTACAGAGTACAGATTTCTCGAATCTGCTTCAAAGCCGGCAGGACCCACTTCTCGCCGTTCTTCAACTCCTCCACGCACTTATCCAACCAAACAGTCTTCTGGGCGTCCCTTTCCTGAGAGCAACTATAGTCTAAGATCTTGACGTGAGCGGAGAGCGCCTGATCCATTATTTCGGTCGGCACGTCCTCGGCATGGGCGAGATTCCAGAATAACGTCAGAACTTTGTGCGCCATGACCCCGTCTTTGTCGTCCTCCGCCAGGCGGCGGATCAGCTCCAAGAGCCGTTCCCTCTGTCGCTTGGAAGCCGAGGTCCAGCTGTTCTGGAAACATTCGAACAGGTGGTCAAGTTGTTCGGCGCTGAAGTCCCAAGCCAATTTAGCTAGTAGGTCGTGCACGTTCTTCACGATGGCCTCGTGTTTGCCCACCTGGGCCGCCCACACTGCGTCCAGATCCGACAGGCTCAGCGCCCGCTCTTTTATCACAAAACGTAGGATTTTCTCTAATTTCTCTACATACTGGGGTTGGTGAAGGGAATCTCTTAATACTATCTCTAACACTTTGTTTTCGTTTATCCATTTCTGTAAAGAATTGATATGTGAAAGTTATAACGTTTTTAATTGATATTTTTATATTAAATTTAACTAATTGTGGACTGATGATAACTGTGTACAATATAATATATATACCTTATTTCATAAACTGACAGTCAAATCGGTCAAATAATGGAACGCATTGCATTTGTTTCGTCAGAATTACAATGTTGGGTTTAACTGTGTCATGTTCATTTTCATGGATAAAATAGTTTGCTGTCAACTGTCTGCCTACGATAATTTATTTTGATGTTGATCTCGGACGAGGTATTAATAACCACGACTTTAATTAAAATAAGCGAGAAACACACACAGTGGCTGATAATTATGTCAACACAAAAACATATGAAAGAAGGCAGGTTTTGTCATAATATAGAAAAATAGTCAACCATTAACTTTCTGTCGTTATGCACCCTCACAAAGATCAGGTTAATTTTTTTTTGAGATAACAAAATGTTGATGTAAATACAGGGTGTCCCAACATTCTTTGTACTTAGAACTACTACCTATTTTTATGGTGAAAATCAGGCAAATTATAAAAACTTACCTTTGTCTAAAGTTGCTTCATATAACCATTAGAGGGCATCAAATCGGATTTTTCAACTTATCGCACTTGGACTCAGTCAATACTCAGTATATTTATGTCCTGTACTATTAACTCGAATAATAAAGGAGGATATATTCTCAACATGCATTTGTAAAAGTGCAAATAAGTGAAAAACGCTACTAGTTTTTTTCCAAATAATTCTAAAATGCTTCAATTTAAGGAGGTTTATCTGATTTGGAATTGACGAACAAATATTCATAGAAAAATTAATATACGCTTATTAATATGAAGAAAATCCTCAAAAAAAATTATGACTAGTTTGGATACCTAAGAGACGAGATATTAATATAATAATTTTTCACGATTTAGTTCGAAGTCTTATCAGAATGCAGATTTTTTTGGTCTTTCCACTTAGAATGCGCAACAATTGACGAACCATATTACAGCTCGTAAAAATCGATTAGGTACTTGTAAAATACATAATTTATAATTCTCCTTCAAACTGCTGCTGTTGACTAACTTAAAATTCATATGCGTGATAGCGGTTCTCGACGTAACGTATTATTTGAAATTCGCAGGTGTGACATATGATATATATTTCAAGCTTGGGCATCCAAACAAACAGAATAATCGAACGTGAGCGAGCGAACGTCAAGCCCAGCACGCCAGCAATGCATGCAACATTGCCAAATCTAAAGGCTCACTACTTTAGTCATTAACAAATCTACAGAAACTTTCATTTGACTTTAGGCGTACACGATAAACCTTAAATAATACTGTGTATGACATTTTTTTTATATAAAAACCAAATATTATACAAATGTAATTTAACTGTTTTAAAAAATTTCATACAGGTGCGAATTGTGAATGCAGATATTATTCTAATCGGTCAAACTTCCGAAAATTTTTCATTTTAATTGAAATGAACCAATCAGAACAATATTCACATTGTAATTTGCTTAATTTAATCATAAATTCTTCAAGCATACTGATTTTAGGGCTCTGCTTCTATCGTCGGACTGTTGCTAAGCAAAGTAGTTTTGAAAACTGTGATTATCTCGTGTACTATCAATGCTCTTGGGTTTTTACAGCTGATAATAAAAATGTAGTAATGTTTTGTGGAGTTTAGACTTATAATCAAATGTTTTTTCAGGAAAACTATTGGAAATGATGACACCATTTTTTTAGTAACAGCGTAATTCTATCACAATCTCAGATTTCTTCCATTCTGTTAAATGTGATTTTCTCTAATTTTAATCTCTATGGTTACTTTCATACAAGGGTGGTTAAATTAGATCAATTCGATGGTAAATTCATAATTCGCATGATGGAGAAAATCTCAAATAAGTGCAATCATTTCCAATCATATTTTTCCCACAACAAGAACATACGATTACCAGAATTCTGAACCCCACAAAGCATAATTTATTTTAATTATCAAATAGACAATATTTTTCAAGAGAATTAAATCAAATTTGCATCAAACACGTTCCAAAAGTTTCTGTCTTATGCTAAATTCTTTATTTCACACCAATTTATTTCTCATTTTGTAACTGCCTGTCATACTCATTCTTCCGTTCTCATTCTACGTTGTTCTATTCTTTCCCTGTTCCCAAGCCTCATATATTTTCTTAGATTTTTGAATGCACTTTTATGCATTCAGTTGAGGTGTCCTCAACAGCCAAGTTGCCTTTTTGCACGGACTCTTTTAAATGGTTTCAATTTTCTCCGCTGCATTGCCATTTTATTCCTAATTTTTTCTTTTCCCGTCATTCCTCAGAGGTCCCATTTCTATTGTCACGATCCTGATTTTACTTCTGTCTGTGATCATCAAACCCCATCCCATGCACCAGCAAAGTTCTCATTACCTTTTCGATGTGATATTTTTTTTTCGAAAAATATGTCTTGTAAATTCGTTCTAATTTTTCTCTTTCTCTCTTTATCTACTTTTCTAGTGTTTTTATGATTGTATCCACGTAGTATCTTTTGATTTGTTCTAGTTGTCTTCCCCCTAAACATACTTTGCTTCTTTTCATTTTATGCATTTTATTATCATGGTTTATGTTTTGTCCATACTAAGGTCCATATTTATTTTTCTGCTGCGATTTGACTGGTACGCATTTAAATTCTGTTATAAGTTCCGTTCTGAATCCGTTAATCAAATCATATAATCCGCAAATAGCATTCATTGTAAGATCATTTGTTGTTTTCTACCGTTACCAAATATATTTTTTTTCATTTTTGTATACAGCTCCTTATTACATCATTTAATAGTTTTGGGAACAGTACCTTTTTAACCATGCTTTAATCCCGTAAAAAATATGTTCACCTTTGCTTCGAGATGTGGGTATTTTCCTAACTTTTGTAAATGCAATAATTTGCCCGCTATATTAAAAAGCGACACCAATAAAAAATTGTTTCCATCTTTGACACCTCTATCGACTAAATGAAGTAACTCTACATATAGGAAAGTACAAAGAACATTGAAGGAAAAAACCTAAAGTTTCATATTCAGTTAGAAGACGAAAGATATCACTGTCGATAAAAAACGTTCATTAAAAAATATTTAGCGTTATGAAAAATATTTTACTTACAGCCATACGTTCCGGAGTAAGGTACTCTTCCTCCTCCATTCCGTGATGCCTATTGGGATAATAAGTTACGCTAGATATGACCTTATTGATCTCGTTAAGTGCATTCATCTTCCCATTAAAACTGGAAATCTGCAACTGCCTTAATATCATGGTGAGCCTGAAACCTTCGAGGGTACGGATCAACTCCTCCTGATTGGGCACCCGAGAGGCGAGATTCTTCGCCGACTTTATTATGGCGGACACGATGTCGCTCTTCTGCTCGTTCTTCGCCTCCCTCTTCAGTTCGTCGTCCGTCAGTTTGTCTAGGATGCCCGGCACCATTTCCTAAATGAAGGAAAATGTGTAAGTTTAAGAAATATATTTCCATTTCAAAAGATGTGGAATTAAAAAATTTGTAGAGGAACGTTGAACGTTAACCATAACTCAATGCAATAATAGTAATGTGAATAAGTCAGCGAGTTTAAAATTTATAGTTTTCTTTTGTATTTTTATTATAAACCACCCAAATATGTGACGTATTCTTTTACCTGTGATTTCGTGATCATAATTTGAAACTGTACACTGCAACTGGTTCATTTTACATGTTCAACAAGAAGATATGATATTATTTGATTGTGATTCGAAATCGTTGTGCAAAAGAACATTTTAATGAAGAAAAATTAAAAATGTATCTCAAAGTAGAGAGACGTTTTGCAATTATAATAATGATATATTAACCACAACTCAGTTCTATAATAATAATACATACATACATACAAATACATAACCACAAGCCAGAAGATAAGATATGTTTTAAACACCAAATATTTGTATCCAACAATTACGGTAAATGAATTTATTAGTTATTTTTAGACCGCAGCCACAACTTCCTTCTTTTTTTTATTAAAATTGGAAGGTATTATTAGGATATTCTGTAAAGCATAAATTTTCAATATCAAAAAAATATTTGTTTAATACGGTCTGTTTACTTCTTGGATTTCCAAACAGTTATTTGGCTGAAAATCTGATTTGAGGTTATGTTCCAAATATATCCTTTAAATTTACTAGTCATTTATTAGCTAGTGATCAATAGAAATTAGTTATTATTTTTTTTTACAACTAAACTTTATAATACTTTAAAGATTCTGGATGTAAATTTGATTTTTCCACATTAACATTAAATTGCCGCCGGAAGAAAAAATTAAAACTAATAAAGCGACAGCAAAATGTTAATATTACGAAATAGAAAATATATAATAATTTCTCCCAGGTATGTAATATTTTACGACAGGTAGTATATCACCACAATTAAAGTACCTGAAAACGTGATAAAATAAAATTATATTTATACTTAAATAATATTAAAAAAATGCATACTTTGCTGATAAATATAAATATATATATATATATATTTTTAATCATTAACTACCTCATCTCATGATCAAAACGTGTTTTTACCCAAACTGAATTTAAAATTATAAAAGACATCATAATTATAAATTTAGCGGATTAATAACATAACAGAAATTTGTTTTTAACTCTTAAATGTTGAGGTTAAGATGACTCATACTAAGAAAATACATGATATTCAATATAAATAGTTCCACAAATAAAGAAAATGGTCAGATATAAACACATATTTCACAAATCAAATTTGAATATTCACTAAATTTTGGTGGTTGAACTCTTTACAAAGCATTTAAATTATTCTAATTTGAAACCGACATATTTACATATTATGAATATTTAAAGTTAATGATTGCAAAAATACTAATTTCTAATAATGTTCAAATAAATAAAACAAATAAATGCAAACAAACTAATACTTCACAATAACGGGTAACGGGACTTGGTAAACAAAGAAAAAATTATTTTATAAAATGAGATAATTTATATTTAAGCTACCATTTAATTTAAGGTAATTAAGGAGTGGTCCAATTATATTAATTACAGGTCCATGTGGAATTTCGTAAAAATAAGTTTAACTCACCAATACAGGCAGAATATATTTATTTATTGTGTGGGGAGTCAGAAACTCGTAGCATAATCCAAACGGCCGAAGGAGAGCAAAGACCACAGAAACACTCAAGTTCTTCCCAGTCTGAAATCTGTCTAAAAGGTGTTGGAAACCTCCCAGCTCTCCGAACCTATTGATAAGGTCGACCAGCCATCCTCGGGGATTCCTAGGATCCGTAGAAGGCCTTGCGAACAATTCCTCTTCGGTTAAATTTGAGGTAGGCCCCACAGTTTCGCTCTGCCTCGATGAATTGAAACTATGAAATTTATTATTTGGGTTTAAAACCATTGCTAATAGATCTAACAAGGGGAACCAGTCTTGAGGCAACTTGGCCACACATAATTCTATGAGTTTCAAGCAATTCTGATAGATACAAGAGTGAATGTTAGGTTTCCAACTAGACACTGCATCATCTGTTAATATTTTCGTGAAGGACACGGTCAAGCCTTCTCGAAAGAATCTCTGGCATGCCTCGGATCGAGTATCTAAGTTCTTCCGTGCTAAATCTATGGAGACTTTTAAGAGACATTCTAACTCCTGATCTGGTAAAACTGGCACTACCCATCTCAAATTGGATATTTTCTCATCTAGCAAGGCTAATTTATCACGAGGAAAGTCAGGCTCAGAGTTTTCATTTTGTAATTCATCGACGGTCGACTCTGATGGTCCAGGTACAGGGCTCTGCTTAATAACTTATGTTACTACAAGGTTGCTATAAGAATAAAGATTAAAAAATACCTGCGCTTCAATAGTGTCTCCTGTGATTCCTTGGCCTCTAGTTGCAATAGTCATATTTCAAATTGATTTAAATTATCATTGTAGAATTAACTGAAAGAAATCATTTACAATTTTCATATACTGTGTAACCCATTTTATTATGTCTGCACAACAAAGTGTATTCTAGTATAGATTATTCTAGTTTATTAGAGGCTTTCGAGTATAAAGCTTTTGATGACTGACAAACGTCAGGATTCAAAGGAAAAATAAATGGGAGTGACAGTGACAAACTAATAATTTAGTCATGAAATAGTAAATATAATTGTTTCTCACCCCCTCAAGAAGCAACCAAAGGCCTTTTAAGACTTCTGATTATCGAAAACTACAGATAATTAATATAATTAGTAGGATGAAAATTTATTTTGTGTCACTAATTTTTGACAAGTCTATACGTAAAATCCACCGGCACATACAAAATGGCGCCCAAAATTAACGATTAAAAAATATTCTAAAAATATCTCTCACTTAAAAAACAATTCACTAAATAAATCACTAAGTTTTATACATAAATATATTAAGTGATATAAAGAATTAATAATTAATGCGACAAAAATTCTTGATTGTTGACGTACAGAATTATTTTTTTTTGCAGGCACGTCGTGATTTTGCAAATACTGTTGCCAATCTCCAAAACAGTAATTTTCTGCCGTTTGTATTGGCTACACACATTTGTTAAAAGTCTAGGGAGTTTTTTTGTTGATAATAATTCGATACTTAACCTATACAACTTTTAATATTTTTGTGAAAAGTTAAAAAAAAATGGAGCCTTTAACTAGTGAAATATTTCATGCCGAAGCAGATTTTGATAAATGTAAATCTGATAAACCCTCGCAATGTGGAATATGCGGCGAAAACCATTCTGTGAAAGAGTGTCGTATTTTAAAACTAATAAATCATGTAAGTTTATTTAATAAAAGTGTACCTACTTAGATCCAAATTAACTTTTTCAGATCCCCGATAAAACTATTCCGTCCAAAGCAAGACTGACCCTTCCCGACTCTTTGGAGATTAAAAAGTTATGTGACGGCACTCACAATGTTTACACTCGGTGTTTAATTAAGAGAGGAACACAATTTGGCCCATTTCAGGCAAAAAAACTTTTTACGTTACATCCAGCCATTGACTTTCCTCTAAAAATATTCACAAACGCCGCTGAGGATTTCTCGGAGTATTTCTTAGACACTAGTGATGAAAACGAATGCAGTTGGATGATATTTATTAGTCCTGCTAGTGATATGGAGGAACAGAATGTGATTTGTTATCAGGTAAGTTGAACTGTCAAAATGAAAGTGTACTAATAATAACTTTTTCTGTAATTATTAGGATGGTGAAGATTTATATTATGGTACAATAAAAGATATTTATCCTGGAGAACCATTAAAGGTATGGTATTCCTCACATTATGCAGCAAAAATGAAGAAGGTTTTATTAAATAACACGGGAAATGAAGATAATAATGTAGAAAAACAGAGTAACGGTGAGTTTGAATATTTTTAAAAGTAAAATGGATAATAATATTATTATTCAGATCTTGAGGCCATTCTTAGAAAGAAGAAGAATATAACACCAAGAGAGTCCTGGAGTTGCAAATTTTGCGGCAAAGTTGAAAAAGAATTATCAGTATTTGCTGTTCATTTGCTCGATCATTACAGAGCCCAAGCTAATAAAGTTTGTGCAATATGTAAAGGTTCATTTCAAACTCGCAGGGTATGCTCGATATTATTTTTAAAATCTTATTTATACTAATGCAAGTGTAACTTTCGTACGGTTTCAGATGTTAAAAAAGCATTTGAAAACAGTACACGGAAATAATCTGAAACAAACCGCAGAAACGATTAAAGAGTCAGAAATATCAAATATAAAAATCAATGAACATGATTCAAAGGATACATCCGTGGGAGGTCCATTATTGTTAAATAATATTTCTGCCGACAGTTTAGACAACTCTAGCTTACTTTTATCCCAAAGTGACCTATTAAAAGTGGATTTAAATGGCATCGAAAACCAGAACATAATGATGGAGACTGAAAATTTGAATTTAAACGTAGATAACATAATAAATGACAATGTGAAGCAGTTGGACCATTTCAATTTTGAATTAAAAGAACTCGAGTCAGAACAATTAATCTGCGATATATGCTTGAAGAGCTTCGTGAAGTTAAAATCGCTGATACAGCATCTGGAACAGCATACAGGGAAGTTTTTGTGCCATCAATGCAATATGGTAAGTAATAATTTGAAAACGTAGTACATTTGAAATGTTTTTCTTATTCCAGGTATTCGCACGCAAAGAAAATTTGATGTACCACACTTGCAATGTGTTCTACAAGATAAAGTGTCCATTGTGTGATAAAATCTTCGTTCAACGGAAATTTCTAACTCAACACATAAAGGGTTTCCATGATAAACAGTTCACATGCAGATTGTGCAACAAGTTTTATGACTGCAAACAAGCTTTACAAATGCATACTTGCGCCAAAGTGCCCGTTCACAAAAAAGAAAAATTCCCTTGCAATGTATGCTCGAAAATATTCTTCAATAAAAAAAACTTGTATGAACACCTAGCAAGGCACAGAAAAAGCAAAGAAAACGAGAAAATTGTGTGTGAGGTGTGCAATGTGACGTTAACCTCAAGGAAGAGTTATTTGAAGCATGTTAAAATGCACGACGGGTCTTTTCATTCTTGTGATATATGCAAGAAGGTGTTCGTTAGAAGTGATGGTCTGAGGGAGCACAAAATCCAGGTGCATAGTGCTGGGAACCAGGTAAATTGAATAGAATGTTAATTCATGATATACAAGGGAATTCAGAACTTATCGAAAAAAAAAATAATTTTAATGTACAGGGGACTCTTACAAATACAATTTTGTAAAAAAAATTCAAAAAAGCCAGTTCAAAAATAATTTAAAAATACTCTTCTGCACTGCACTGGAAACTGGTCCACTGTAAAACCTGACCTTACACAAGGCAAAACATGCAGTTGGCGAACGGCACAGCGGGAAAGTGTAATAAAAAATGAACGTACAAAAAATTGAAAGAATTTCTTCCCCAAGGAAAGAAGTAAATAAAATTTTATAACACCGATTTCATATCGGCAAATTCAACTGCTTTTGCTGCTATTGTTATTAATTAATAAAATAATTTGACATACCTGATGTGTGAACTATTAAAAATTTTGCCCACCGACGAGTAAACACACGTAGGCCCGTCTTACCCAGTTTCTACGAACTAACACAAATGTTCTCTTGCCTCACCATAACACAAATGTTGTCTTGCTTCACAATAAATTAAAACAATATCCATCAACTCCGAGTTGCTATACACATAAGCCATTTTTGACACTTGAAAAACTAATGTAAACACTATCGCAAAAACGTTAATACTGAAATAGAATTACAGTATTCGGAATCGCCTGGGACCACATGGAGAGAGAGCGCATTGATGCTAGAGACTATAATAATCTAATCAAATTAGATTTTTACTTGTCAAAATTTAGTTCAGTAAACAAAGACGAGTAGAAATTAGGAAAAATTCCGCAGAATTGAATGAACTACTTTACCCCAGCTGAATTTTAGAGCTTCTTTTTCAAAATGGCATCCAAAGTTATCAAAAAACAGTTTTTTCATTTAAAAAAAGCTAAACATTTTAGAAAAAAAATGTTTTAGAGAAAAATTGTTGAACTTTTTATAACAAAAATTTTGAACCCAATCCAATGTCAATTGATAAAGTGTATTAGTTATTGCAAAAAACGACAAAAAATCGCGTTTTTTAAAACTTCTATACATACCTTTAAAACAAAAAAAGATTTTTTTACGAAACTTTCAAAATATGTAGTCCATGACAAGTAGAATAAGTGCATTTTTGTAAAATTACAAAATATTTTATAGTTTTTGCAAAAAAAAAGAAATTTTTTTCAAGTTTCAATAAATCATACAATAATGCACTTACGTGACTCATCTTGGGCTTAAAATTTTCTTTAAGTTATACTTTATCGAAATTTGTAAAAAATGTTACCAATTAAATTTCAGTGATAAGAAAAAGGTCAACATTTTTTGACCTTAAAAAGAAGTCAAAGTTACGGTAGATTTTTCTCATATTTCCAATTATTTTGCAATACGCGCACAATTTGCACAAGAAAGTACAACTGTTTGAGAAAATTTTAAGCTGAAGATGAGTCACGTAAATGCATTACTATACGATTTATTGAAACTTGAAAAAAATGTTTTTTTTTTTGAAAAACTCAATTTTTGCAAAAACTATCAAATATTTTGCAATTTTACAAAAATGCACTTATTCTACTTGCCAAGGACTACATATTCTCAAAGTTTTGTAAAAAATCTTTTTTCGTTTTAAAGATATAGAAGTTTTTAAAAAATGCGATTTTTGCCCGTTTTTTTGCAAGAACTAATACATTTGTTTATCAGTTGACATCGGGCTGAACTCAAATTTTTGTAATAAAAAGTTCTATAACTTTTGTCTAAAACATTTTTTCTAAGATGTCTAGTTTTTAAAAAAAACTGTTTTTTTTTCGAACTTTAGACGCAATTTTAAAAATGAAGCCCTAACATTCAGCTGGGGTAAAGTAGTTCAGTCAATTCTACAGAATTTTTCCTAATTTTTACATGTCTGTCTTTGTTTACTTGACTAAATTTTGGCAAAAAAAACGAGGTATTTTCGACAATTTGACTGGCCCAATAGTAACCCAACGATATACCTAAAAGTTGTAAATACTATAACATCCATAATTTTTTTCTCAGAAACGATAAGGCTTCTACAAAAATTTTTTTTACGATATTGACTCCAATTTTCATGACGCATCTATTCCCAAATTTTTTTGGATAAGTTGTGAATCACCGTATATAAGTTTTAAATATTTTTTAATAATTGTTTAAAGCCGAAAAGTATAACGTAGAATATCTTTTTTATTCAGGGTGGTTCAATTTTTCTTGATTACACATACGATTACTTTTTGAAATATGAGGTGTAAGTTTCTTTACAAAAACAATTTTTCTTAATGTTTTTTAAATACTCGAAGGTCCATCATTGAAATTTTACAGAATAGTACCTAAAGGTAGTAAAGATTCATTTTGAAATGTTTATTTTTGTTAATATCGCAGAAAAGGAAATAGCAATCGTTTTTCCAAAAAAAGAAAATCCACCATGGCAATTAATATGATTTTTTTTAAATCTCTTCATGTATCTTAGTAAAGGTTAAAATTTCTGAATTAATATATTTACTAAGAGTGTTTTCAGTTAATAACTCAATTTAATAAAAATTATTTCATTTAATAAAATATATTTGAGTCCCACTATCAAATAACACGGAAATGATGCCTCTGTTTATGACAATTAATGGGAAATTTAGAAATGCAATAATATAATACAGAATAATGATAAACAGAATATTTTTTTATGTTTCTGAATAAATTTAAATTTCAGGTGGAAACCTGCGAGATCTGCAAGAAAACAATGAAATCGAAGAAGCTGTTAAAGACGCACATGGAGACCCACAGCGCCAATAAACTTCATAAGTGCGAGATCTGCCAAGCCTCCTTCAAGCAGCGTTACAACTTAACGAAGCACAAAAAAATGCACCAGTCCCTGAAGAGCAGATTAGAATCTTTGTTCAGGGAAGACGCGCTGATATATTCCTGTCCAAAGTGCGATAAGAACATGAAGCTAAAAAGTTCCCTGGTGAGACACATGAGGAGCCTCCACGCGGACTGTGAGATTTCCTCCGACATTATAAAACCGAAGCTAGGAAAGCTAACGGCAAGAAAACCCGACGGCAGCATGACAGGAGAGGACGACGTCATGGACTTGAAGGAGACTATAGAGAATATGAACTACAACACCGATGAAGTCAATAACTGTACAGAAATTAATATTGAAATCGACAAGATTCTAAATAACACGGACAACATTGATAACTTCTTAAGTGATAGCAACGATCGAATCGTCGAGAATTTGATAAGTATCGCGGCTAAAGAAAACGAGTTAGGCACGATGGGTAGTGAATACGCGCCCAAGGAGGTGTGTTTGTCTATGCCCGATTTAACTGCCGATCAGGAAATCAAATTGGGTAAGTGTATTATGTTCATCAAATCTGAGAATGTATTTTAACAGATACATCTTTATAATGTTAACTTTTTAAAGTAAAGTTTCCTATACAAGGTGTCCGCAGTATAAGTGCCGTATCATCAACAATATCCAGTATTTGCTTTTTTACAAGCATGCAATTTTTTTTTCTGATACTACTGATGAGGGATAACACTGCCAGTATCTAAAACACCACCAAATGACTTACCTTGCAGTAAATGTCTAAATTAAACACTGAAATACGTAACTTCACTAAATGCCACTTAGTCACTTAAAATTTTACTATTTTTGCTCGCCTAGTGCCTTGTTCTCATATCACGTCAGGTGGATAATTATTATTTCGTAATTCGCCTAAACTAGGCCAACGTCAGAGGTCATTGACACAGATTCACAATCTAAACACAGTGGTTTAAAGAAATAGTAACAATTACCTTATATTAAAAACTGATTTTAAGAAATATTTCAAATCTATCGTAGCATCATATAGTCATAGTCCATACCAAATTACACTTGGAGAAAAAAAAATAGTTACCTGGACGTTTATAAGTGGAAGTGGCAAAGGGGCTTATAATAAACATTAAAAAAATAAATGTGTGAGCAGGGGTGGCAGAAGGTTGATTTAGGGAGTTGACGTCAAACGAAAAAGTATCCAATACAAGAGTTGTAGATCATGCAAAAATCTACAACTTTTGTAGAGATCACTCTTTAAGATAACCTCAAAATTTTCGAGAAAAATGCGAAAAACATGTTTTTTTCTTATTTTTTCATTTTGACATATACTTTTTGATGAAATAAAAAAATCCGTAATCACAATTCAAAAACATGCTAAAAAATGCAAAAAAGTAAAAAGTTATTGAATGATGAATTTTTCAGTAATTGATGATTTGTTTAAATTTAAAAAAAATCAAAAACTTATTACACCATTCAATTGTACGAAAAATACAAATAAAAACTTTGTCTCATTGTTTGACCCCAAACTTTGTTTTTGTACAGTATTGCTATAAACATCTAAGTCGAATTACAAATGCACGAATGATAACTTATCTCTGGATGATTTAAGATTTCAGGCAGTATTAACTGCAAAGTCTACTTTTAAATTAGAAAAATTACCACCAACTGTTGGAGCAGCTCCGCAACACTCCTATAGAGCATGCTTTCAGCTTCAGACGTGGCTTGGAAACAAAATGACTGCAACCAAGTGGAGTTGGAAAGAAATAATTGCGAATAATTTCAAATTACTCGTACCTCGCTTTACAGAAGTTTCAGACGTGCCTGAAGATTTATTAAAAACAATCTCCTGCAGCTGCGAAATCAGTTGCGACGGTAATAGATGCGGGTGTTGAAAACACAGATTTATGTGCAAAATGTCATGGTTCAGACAATTGTTTGAACGTTGACGAAATTTCGGAAAATTTCAGTTATTCCGAGGACATTTCACATGAAATCGAGCAGCCAAGTCTGCTTGAACCCAGAAAATGAATTAACCGAAGAATTAAGTGATATCGAAGAAACCTTTGAAGATCAGGAAAAAACCCAGTCTAATGAGACGGTGAAGATCAAGTTAAAAAGTTGCCAAAAAGGCCAAGATTCGCCTGGTATTACTTAATTGTAAATATCGAATCCTTGAACCCGGAAAATGAATTAACTGAAGAATTAAGTGATGTCGAAGAAACGTTTGAAGATCAGGAAAAAACCCAGTCTAATGAAGAATCGGACGGTGAAGATCAAGTTAAAAAGTTGCCAAAAAGACCCAGATTCGCCTAGTATTAATTTAATTGTAAATAAATTTTCAATAATTTAATTAAAAAATCGCTTATAGTGTGTCCGAAATTTTGCAAAATTGTTTAAATTTTTTTTCTGGCTTGTTTTAGCTAAAATTTTTCCTGAGTACGGCTCTGAACGTTTTCAAAATATCTATTGGAGGAAGTAATAACAGTATAAAAGTCAATACCGCATAAAATATCCAACAATTTTTTTTTACTACTTTAGCAATTAGAAATAATAAATATTTCATAAATTTGTATTATTTTTTTATTAGGTACAACTTGTTAAATTAGTGATTAAAAAAAATTGTTGGATATTTTGTGCTGTATTAACTTTTATACCGTTATGACTTCCTCCAACAGATATTTTGAAAGCGTTTCGAGCCGTACTCAGGAAAAATGTTGATGCCATTGGATAGAGCGAAAAACGTGCTAATGCAAATATGAAATTTATTTTAAAATTGTTTTCAAATAAAACCAGAAAAAAATAAAACGGATGATTTCGTGTTTTTTTGGATATTTCCGGAACTACCCGGAATTCTAAAACTTTTTAAACGGTATATTGTTAGGTATAAAAAAACACAACTTTTTTCTAATTTGAGCCACTTCGTATCTGTTACCATTTCCTAGATCCTAATGCTATCCCATCCTTATCTTGGACACACTGTATATCTATGAATTCATAAAAATTTAAAAAAAATAAGTACACTAATCGATCCTACGGAAAAAAATTATTATTTATTTTATTTATTCACTATTCGACTTGGATGTTTATAGCAATACTGTGCAGAAATAAAATTTTGGGTCAATGAGAAACAGTTTTTTTTGTATTTTTTTTCCGTACAATTGAATGATATAATCAGTTTTTGAGCTTTTTATTAAAATTTAAACAAATTATCAACAATTACTGAAAAATTCATTGTTGCAAGTAATTTTTTACTTTTTTTGCATTTTTGAGCATGTTTTTGAACTGTTATTACAGATTTTTTTATTTCAGCAAAAAGTATATGTCAAAACGAAAAAAATGTTCACCGGCAGATTTCTGTACGATGATTTTTCTAAGTAGAATTTTTCTTGAAAAAAAAGTGTTTACGACCGGAAGAAATGAAACTTCTTGATTTTTTCATCTAAAAAAATTGGCGGTTTTTTAAGACACATAAAGGTATACTTTCACCAAGTTTCATCAAAATTAAATTATTTTTAAGGAAATGAGAAATAAAAAACGAAAAATAAAAAACAATTTTTCGCATTTTTCTCGGAAATTTTAAGGTCGTCTTAAAAAGTGATCTCTACAAAAGTTGTAGATTTTTGCATGATCTACAACTCTTGTATTGGATACTTTTTTGTTTTACGTAAACTTTCGCCACAAATCCCAATGATACAATTTTTCACGGCTTTTCAATCCCACAAATCAACCTTCCGCCACTCCTGCTCACGCATTTATTTTTTTACGTTTATTATAAGCCCCTTTACCATTTCCACTAATAAAAGTCTAGGTAACAATTTTCCTTTTTTTTCACTCTAAATGAGTTATTTCGATCGGTCTAATAGTAGTTTTATTTATTTTATATTGCGGACATCCTGTATAACAAAATTCGATCCTTTTATTTCTTATTTTAGGTGAAAACGCGTATATTTTAGACAACGGTACCATTGTAGAACCCCAAGAAAGCTCTTCCAAAGTAGTTGTATATATTTTAGATCAAGATAAATTTACGTAGGCCACACAAATTCTTTTGTAAACCTAGAGTCATTCGTTAAGTTTGTTGTTACATTTCGAAAAAGTTTATTTTTGTAGGATAAGAGAAAAAGTCTAACTAAAATATTTATTTGTTTTATAAAATAAAAAATACAAAATACATACTCGTATTTTTTTTTTCTAGGTATTAACAAATGCTTTAAGAAAAACTAAGATAGACACCTAACGATTACAGAGAAATAATGTATTTAAAAGACGATAACCATCACCACCGTCTTAAATATGGTTAAAAAAAAAATTTCAAATAAAAAAATCTAATCTTTCAAAAATAGTGTAATGTTAATCGAGAATTAAAATGTTTGTGTCTCTCTTAAACCCTATGCTTTCAATTTGACACAAATCTTAGAAAATTAATAAAAATATCACAAATCTACAAAAAAATAAATATGGTCCTTAATTTAATGACTGATTATTACTATTGTGATTCCCAACCGTAACCGCATTCGCCTGGTGCTGGAAACCATCTTTGTGGTTTTCCGGCCCGTTACATTTACAGTGTTCTAGAGGCCGGTAGTTCGCGAGTTGGTGGTACACCTGTTTCATCCTCTGGATGTTGATACGACTAGCACTGGCGTGGTTTACCATCGGAAGAGGATAGTCCTTTCCGATCATGCACTTCGCCGCACGCTGGACGTTCTCAGGAGCCGCCCACGGCTCGTGGATGTACTGTATGGGCATATTCTTGAGCACCGGCAGATATTTTCTAAAAATAGGATTAATTGAAAACGATTTTACGTCGAAGCAGTGTTTACACTTGCCTTATGTAATCGCCGTTAGGGTCAGCTTTTCTGCCGAATTTGACGGGGCAGTAGCAGTGGAAAAACTGCTGGAAGAAACTGGAACAGGACAGCCACATCCACATTCCCGCGTTTACGGACCAGTCGGCATCTAACAGAAGTTCCTCGAAGACCTAGAATGTGCAGATTTATCAAAAATTAAATTTTTATTTTTTTTCTCGAAAAGCTAAACGTTACGTAAATTATAGGGCATGGTTTACTTTCAATATAAAATAAAAAAATTATTCCAGGAAGATTTAAGAGATTTAAGCCCCGGAATAGACAGAAGAGACGTGTCACAGAAGTGATCCAGACTTGGGTCGTTGATGAGAACATCTACTATTTTTTCACTTGTTTTTTAGGTCGGTATATAGCTGTTTGCGTGTGGTAATCACACTTGTCACCCCCCCAGTTGACAATCAAACACGCAAAATTTAAATAAACTGCAAATCTATGCCAGAGTCATCTCTTGATTTTTCATTTGATGAATAATTAAAAAAAAAACAATCGAAAATATTATTCTTAAAAAGTGGCATTTCATTTAAATGACAGTTAATAGTTATTTATGTCCAACCTACACTGAATAAAAATCTGAAAAGAAATAAATTAAATTGTGTGTAAAACATGATTTTGCCCGGGATTTGCACGTAGCAGAATGGCGCTCCTTCAGAGACCCTATTTGGAACCCAAGGAACTGAGAGAAGTGTCAGCAAGGAAGCTTTTGGACTTTGTAAAAAGGACAAATCTACTTGCTGAATAGGACTAGTAGTGGGATGCACAATAGGCCTAATTAGGCCGCAGTGCTATGGGACTTATTAGGACCAACCACTAGAAGAAGGAGAAGAAGAAAAACATGATTAGAATTCGTAATAAAAAATAGTTTGTGCAATTTTTGCAGTTCTTTATTGCCCACTTGAGCGGAGTTGGTGCGCTCAACTCCGCTCTCATGGGCAATAGACAACTTACCGCACTTATTGCACAATATACTATTGTACTATTTACGTTAGACAAATCGATTCACAGGCTTTATCCATGATTCACGATTTTAGGCCAACCAATAGAGCGAAAAAAAGAGGCTGTTTTACACTTAAATATTACAGCAAATTTCATGTATTTCCTTTTGGAAATACTTAGTAAATGAAAACTCAAGTGATTTCCCCAGTAAAGTCGTGAACAATTTTTTTTAAACAATAAAAACTGCAAAAAAGTATCATCTTTTTGTTTTTTTTTATAAGATCTCAAAAAATAATTATGGAATCATCTTACTTTCGCTCTACTCTACTTTTCTACAAAAGTTAAAAATAATATAAAAGAACCTATAAAATGTTGTTTGTGCGACCCATGCGGTTAATTTTTTAAAGAGAAAATTCGGAAAAACCTATAAAATAGACCTTTTTTCACAAATTCATAACTACGTCAAATTTAAAGCTGGAAAAACAATTTTGAGGAAAATGACAGATAATAATATGTAGTTTAATCGTGTGCAAGATGGTTTCTGTCCGATGCACAGTTTTTATACAATTGCATTATAAACAAATTAGGGTTTTTTCTATCAAAAATGGTTCGATTTAAATTCTGAAAATGGCATCTGAAAGTAGACGACAAAATCTCCAATTTGTATGTCTCGGATTTTCGCCGGGGTGATGGGAAATATCCTAAAAATGCCTTTGAAAGTTACCCGAAACGATCAAAAGTATGCCAGCCAGTCAGGTAGTGGTAGTGGGGAAAGCAGCGAGCAGAAGACTCTATCTCGAGCGTACTTTCGATCGTTTCGGACAACTTTCAATGGCATTTTTAGCATATTTCCCATCACCCAGACGAAAATCCGAGAATACAAATTGGAGATTTTGTCGTCTACTTCCAGATGCCGTTTTCAGAATTTAAATCGGGCCATTTTTGATAAATCGCCACGTTGTGAAAGAAAAGACCCTAATTGGTTTATACTACAATTGTGCAAAAACTATGCATCAGATAGAAACCACTTGCGCACCATTAAACTTCATATTATTATCTGTCACTTTCCTCAAGATTGTTTTTCCAGCTTCAAATTTGACGGAGTTATGAATTTTTGAAAAAAGGTCTATTTTAGAGGTTTTTCCGGATTTCCTCTGAAAAAAATTTACCAATTGGGTTACACAAAAAAACATTTTATAGGTTTTTTTATTCTCTACAAAAGTCCTACTGAGTGTAAGACGATTCCATCATCAGTTTTCAAGATATTATAAAAAAAACAAAAAATGTAATTTTTTGCAGTTTTTATTGTTTAAAAAAAAATTATTCACGACTTTGCTGGGGAAAACACTTGGGTTTTCATTTACTAAGTATTTTTCAAAGGGTAATACATGAAATTTGCTGTAAAATTTAAGTGTGCCAAAAAATCTCTGTCTGTCTGCCTTAAGAAATGAAAAAGTCAAAATGTACGAATTTCAGACTCTTAGAATTCAAATAAAAATAGATATTAACGTACCATGAGATGTTTCATTAGAGATATGGAAAATAACAACAAATGATTCTTAGCCGATGATATTGAATTATGCCTGACCTGATAGTGAAATCTGTCAAAGAAATATCTTGTCAAAGACCAACAAGTAAACATAGGCATGATAGAAAGATCAAACTATTTCTATATTTTAGTTAGAATTTCAAGATATTGGAGCTACTAATAAAAAAATTTGCATAATTTTATTTACTCTAGTTGCTCTTATTTTCGTAGCAACTACATATATGCAATAAAAAAAATTGAACATCGATTTTTTAAATACAAATCTCAAGAAGGATGGAATCTATCCACCTATCGGCTTTCCGAAATCTGAAAAATTTTCTATGGATAATCTTGGAAATCATTGCTTTAAATCTTAAATATTTTTACATAAAATGTTGGTTATATTTAAAGTACAGTATAGTTCATTAGCGTTAGCTAGGAATCTTTGACCTACCCTTGTTGTCTAAAACCCCCACAGAGCCTAGCGCAAGAACAAAAAAAGCAGGTCAAAGATTCCTAGCTAAGTTTAAGGAAGTGCAATGTAAGTCTATAACTGGTCTATTTTTTTTATGTTATTAGAATTATTTTGTAATACCGTTTCTGTAATTGGGTTATCTCTTCAGTGGTGTAGTCAACAAGTAAATAAAGAACAATCATAATAATTTAATAGAATTACGTACCTTCATGCCTTCTTCCCAAGAAATCCAAAGATCACCCCTCGTTAAAAAACAGGCTACCGCGTGCCTCGCCAGGTGATGAATCCAACCTTCTTGCCTCAGCTGGGTCATTATGGCGTCGATCCAAGGAAAACCAGTTTGACCCTAAAGCGTAATTAATATTAAAAAAATTAACCGAATACATATAACGCAAACTCACATTTGCCCACTTAGCTAGAGCTTCTAGATTTTTATCCCACGGAATCTGCACGCAGATCGGGTTCCCTAACATCTTGTCAAAGTTTGGGTTTTTGGTAGCGGCGCAGTAGAAGAATTCCCTCCAAAGCAACTGTCCGTGTAGAGACAGCGGCGGAAAGGCTTTCTTAATTTTCTTATACAGATCAGTCAGTTGGTAGTAAAACAGTCTTGTGGAGAGGCATCCGAACCTCAGATATGGCGACAGTCCCGTTTGGGACGGTAAGAGAGATTGCGGCGTCATTTTCGGTCGACCAAAGGAAGCCACCCAAGCTTTTCTTTCCAAGTGGCGTTCTAGACGTGCCAGAGATTCGGTTTCGCCCCCCTGCCATACCGGTGGGTTTAAACCTTGAAAACGATTCATAAAAATGTAAACTAATGTATTTCTATGGGCCAGTATGCGTAAAAGCCGGTAAATGTTTTTATTTTTTATTTTTTTAAGGAACTGCTATTTTTTAAACGTTTACTATAAGCAGCTTTTACTTAACTTCCTAGTAAAGGCTAAAAAGGCTAAAAAAAAGTTTTTATAACGGGATTTGGGAAAACAAACTTACAACATGCTTTTTCGAAAGTCAAGTTTTACTACTGCGATTAATTTACCGTCAGTGTCAAACCCCAACTCCTCCAAAGTGGGCACCCCATACTTCTCGTCGTGGTCCTCAGACAGGGGCGTAACCGCCCCATTCAAACTAGACGCATTCACCGGCAATTCAGGCTTAGGTGGTGGACCCATGCAAGCGACCACCGCCAGGAATTGATGGTACGTCAGGGGAGCCTGTCCAGCATTCCTGTCGATTATGTGTTGGAGGTGGTAGAGGGTGTGAGACACCTTCTGGATGACGCTTATCCCCAGCTCTTTGCACAAGGCGGTTATGTTGTCGTCTCTGACCCGGCCGAACGGTTCAGGATCTTCCTCGAAAGTCAGGGCAGTGGTGCCCCATTCCTTGAAGAGTTTGGGGAGGGCGTCGGCGGGTTGGCCCCGGATTACGAACAGTCTGGAGTTTAGTTTCCGGAGATTACGGTCGAGGTCTTCGAGGCATTGGAGGAGAAATCTGCGAATATAAAGGATCTTATAGAGATTTTTTAAAAATATATTCATTTTAGCGGAGTGTATGCCAATCTGGAAAACTGGAAATTATCAGAAAATTTGATAGTCCTGGATATATTAGGAAATTTCTCAAATATTCTTTTACAGCATCGATCTGTGTCACTTGTGATTTTAGTACGAAACAATTGAAAATCTCTAAGAATCAGCTTAAACTCTGTTATTTTCAGTCCAATTGAAACATTCTTGATTATTTTCTCAAAAATGTTGGTTAAAATAAAATTAAATTAATACGCCAGTAGATTTTAGAAAGAGTGATTTTTATTACTTTTTTTAATAAGTAATTTTTTTCTGTGAAGTGTTACTTTGCATAAATTCTGCACTAATTACGAAACTTACTGGTAAATATTTAATTTAAAATAAAATGACGTTATTTGAACTGGCCAAAATTAAAAATAATACATTTTTTTTAAATTATGGGGATTTATTGGAACATTAAATTATTGCAATTGTTTATAAGCGTGAAAATTGCAAAAATGTTTAAACAATCACCACGGCTCTTCTAATCGTCCGATTTGAATTTTTCAAAAAGCATTTTAAAGCTTGAGAGCTCTTCTTTTTGTGGTGAAATTTTCAAGTATTCAAAGGCTTTAGATTTTTAGAAATTTGATTTTGAAAATTTTTTAATTTAAAAAAAATAAAAAAATTAAACAATTATTATCTAAAAACTATCGAACCGAATTGGATGAAATTTGGTGTGATGATTCTATGCACTAAGAAGTTTAATTGGGAAAAGTATGAAGATCCTAGGTATTATTCAAGTGTCTGAAAAAAATTGACAAATAAACTAGCATTTTTTGCAATTTTTTAAATGATTTTTCCGATTTTTGCAACAACAATAATTATTTTTTCGAATTGCAACTAACTCTATCTTGTTCAAAATTTAATTACAAAACTTTTTTTCCTCTTCCATTTTTGTCTAAAATGAAGAGTTGCTAAGTTGTCGACGAGAAATCCAAGAAAAAAAATGATTTTTTTTGTTATTTTTTTATACTTTTTTGTAATAACAATTAAGCCCACATTTTTTTTTATTTGCATAGAAAAATTATCATTTCTGATGTTATTTAGAAGCCGTTAAAGCAAAAATCTCCGATCATATGCGTTTTACCCAAGTACACCCTTTGAAAGACAGATACCGCCTGGACTAGTAGTGCTATTATTTTTATTTGCCGATTTTGTATAAGAATATTAATTAATGTTATTAGAATTTAGCTAATAATTTCCCGTTTCCAAAAATTTATATTTTTTTAATTTTAGCTGATTTTTTTCTAAATTAATGATTTTGTTTATAGAAATCGTTTTTGTTTGGTATTCGAGATAAGCAAAAATTATTAAAAGAAAAGGATAATAAATAAAAATCCCTATTTGCTGCAAATATGGTTTATGCTTTGTTGAATATTCATGTTGTACAAAAATTAAATAAATGATATTGATACGAAATATTATAAATACGATATTGTAATAATAAATAATTAATAAAATGATAAAAGTAAAAAAGATGTAAATTAAATAAAAATTAAATATTTCCGGGACTATTTTACTTCTAAAGGCCGTATGACACTGTAAATAATTATCTACAAAATTTTTGGAATAATTATATTCTACGCTATTTTTGTAGTTGCCTACATAAAACAAATCTAATAATTTTGAAAAGAATTCTGTCCATGTTCTGTTTTTTAGAACATGTTCTAAATTTTTATGAGAATCTGCGCGAGAAATTGCGCAGTGTGCAAATTGAAATAATTTACCATTTCCACTATTCTGTGCTCGGTAGTTATAAGAATATATAAATGACAATTTTTATAGGTCCCTTCCCTTCAATATTTCACAACATAGAATCACCCTGGACAGGTGGCGCCACATAAAACCAGTTAATACGCAAGCGCACAAATATAATTTTATTGAGAATAATAATTTTTGTTTATAACGGCATACACAAATTAACTAAAATTCACATTTTTCCAATGAAAATTACCAACAAAATTATAAGTAATTTTGTTGAAAATTTGTTGCAATGTCATACGGCCTTAAGGCTCTAATATTCGTGATTACCTCGTCAAGCTACCCCAGATTTAGCCGCAAGGGATTTTTGTACATGGTCCAGAAGCCGAGATAACAAAGATTTTGCAAGCGCGAGCCACTTAGAATGCACGTCATCAGTTTTCAGAGCAAGCACGCGCTTGTATGCTTCACTTCATTTTACACACAATTTAATACTACAAAAGATCAATGAAACATCCTTTTTTTTTTTCTTGAAATTATAAGTATTCAGTATTAACCTCCATCAAGCGCATCGCTGTAAAATATTAATTGCGTCCTCTGATTTTTTTTAAAATAAAAAGTTATCTCGGCTCCAGCATAAAAACAGATTTTTTTTTAAATTCGTGAAAAAATATCAACTTAAAAGTCATTTTCATAACATAAAAATTGAAATAGGAAATTTTTAAAAAAGTGCAATTTTTTTCAGTAATTTTTTGATTCTTAAAATTAATAAAATCGTCAAAAATTTTTTAACAGCATGTATAGTACAACTCTTTACGAGGAAAATAAACCGAAAATCGTTACTGTAGGGCCATCCACTAAGAAGATCTAGCCAATTTTCGAGAGCGCCTTTTTTTCAAAGAATCGATAAAGGTATCTCGAAAAATATTTCTAAATTTTTCTAAAATGTACTTCTTTGGCTTGCCGCGGGCTATGCAGTAAATAGCAAGTATTAGAACGTAAATGTAAATGAGAAGAGAAAAGAGAACATTTTTAACGGTTTTTTCGATATATCTCGAAAAGTGACAAAACAATCGATACTTACCAAAATAAGTCGATATATCTTTTTAAAACCTACAACTTTCTCATTCAAAATTTTTCAATCGGAGCTATATTTTTCTAGAAAAATTCTTAGTTAGAAAAACCGTTTTTTACAATTTTGCGAATTTTTTTGGCCATGTTTGCCATTCTGGAACGAGTTTAAAGAACAAGAAAATCAATTTAAAATTTAATTTCCTATATAGATACGTTCGTATTTTCTGTAAGCACTTCTCTATGATGCTTGGACTAAAAGTGATATACATAGAACTTCTATCAATACAAACTGGAAAATTCTTTAAATCTACCTGGAAAACGTAGAAATATCAAAGAATTTCTTGGTCAACTTTAATATACGCCTTGTATTAGTTAGTCAGCTCCATGCATTTACAAAGATTTGATTGATTATTCTCGGATTATTACTTTTACTTCATTAGTTAATTTTAAAGGTACTTGCGAAGCTAAATCAAATCATAAATGTACATTTTTTTATTCTTATTAAATAAAGTCATACAGCGTATTTATATTTATTGAAATATTTTAATAGACGTTCTTTTGTTACATAGATATCGCGGATGGGCGATGTCCCTTTAAAATTCATTGACCATTTTTTTGGAGCAAAAATTAGAAATACTTTTTTTAAGGAAATTAATTGAATACAGTGTAATCACACGGAAAAAAAAACAGGTAGAAAAGCGCACTTAGTTCTAAAAAATGAAAATTTCTATCTAATTATTTGGATGATGAGGCGCTTTGAGATATAGGAATTTTTTTCTTATTTTTAAGGAATTCATATTTTAAGATTGGACATCAATTAATGAAAAAAGGGAATTAACGAGTTTGAAGAGAAAAAGACCCACCTCCATTTGTTGATGCCGACATTGGAGGCACCGGCGAACCAAGGATCAAGGACAAAAACACATCTGAACGTGCTGGCCCCTTTCAGCCCCTCCTTCAGTGAAGGATTATCGTGCAGCCGCAAGCCCTTGCGGAACCAGTGAACTGTGTGTTTCTCCTGCCCATTGGACGTCAGATACGCACTCCCGCTCATCTACTTTTGCGGGGAACGCATCGTACTGGTCATATTCCGGGTGGGTTTCCTTAGTTTCGTACTAGAAAGAGCATAAATTGAAAAAACATAGACATAAACCTACTCAAATGAATTTTTAGACTTATTACTTCCTTTAGGCTTTAAGCTTGACCGATTTCATCTTGTCCCGAGTTCCCGATGCGCAGTGGCAACGTTACTAGACTACCACCAGAGCTCAGTCTTTATCTGATGGTTAAACGGTTGACATTTAACATAATTTTTCCTTCAATTACGCCCCTCAAACTACCCGCATGCGTCAACGCCACTGCTATTGGGAATAAAATGTTTTGCACGTTTGATATTTACTCGTGCTATACAGGGTGTTAAAAAAAAAGTGTAAAATATTTCAAGACTTAATAGTATGAACCAAAATAAGCAGAAAAGTCTTAATAAACATGGGTCCGCAAAGTAACGGTTGCGGAGATATGGACCACTATTCGTTTTTCAAACATTTTATTTTATTAGGAATAAACCGACAAAGGAAGCTTTTAACAAACAAAAAACAAAGTTACAGAAGATGTTCAAAGTGCCCTCCGTCCATTTCCAAGCAGGCACGACATCTTCGTCTCAACGATATTCGAACTCTTTCGAAAACACCCTCCTTGGTTTGGATTTCTTGACACTTTTGATTAATCCGTAGCTGCAGCTCTTCCAGGCTATTTACAGGAGTACCATACACTAATGTCTTCAAATATCCCCAAACAAAGAAATCTAGAGGGTTCAGATCAGGCGATCTTGGAGGCCATAAAACAGGTCCGGCCCTTCCTACCCATCTATGTGGAAAAGTTTGGTGTAAATGCTCTCTAACGGCCATGGAAAAATGAGCTGGAGCACCATCATGCTGGAACCACATTTGTTGCCTCTGATTCAAAGGAATGTCTTCCAAAAACTCATACAGTGTGTTCTGCAGAAAGTTGAGGTAAGCAGCGCCTGTTAATCGGTTTGGTAAAACAACAGGACCTAGAAACCTGTCACCTACAATACCCATCCAAATGTTTAATGAAAAACGTGCCTGATGTCCAGATTCTATTAGAGCATGAGGATTTTCGTCGGCCCAAATATGCGTATTGTGAAAATTAAACACTCCATTTCTTGTGAACCCGGCCTCATCAGTAAAAAGAATGTTTGCAAGAAAACGAGGGTCTTCAGCATCATGACGTAGAAACCAGCGGCAAAAAACCAAACGTGCTTGATGATCATTTATTGGATTTAAGGCCTGTACTCGTTGCACATGGTATGGATAAAGCAGTTGCTCGTGAAGGATTCTCCAAACAAGAGGACCACTAATTCCTACCTCGGCTGATATTCTCCGCACACTCGTACCTGGATTCTGCTCTACCAGTGCTAGAATTTCTTCTTCTGCTCTAGGAGTGGATACCGACCTTGGTCTTCCGGATAAATGGCACTGTTTGCTCAAGGAACCGGTATCACGCAATCTTTGGTGAATTCTTCCAAACATGCGTTGTGAAGGAATCTGGCGATTTGGATAAGCGTCAACATAAAGACGTCGCGCTTCGGTGGCGTTCCCATTAGCACGACCATACATGAAATGCATGTCTGTTAATTCTGCGTTAGAGTAACCAGCCATAGCGAAAGAAAACTTGTGCACTGAGAACAACTGTCAAATACGTACTGTTTATTTCACTAAACATCAACCAACTATTATAAGAAAATACACAACGTTTTTGCAAAATAAAAAAAGGGGCTAAAAAACATAAAACATTCCATATCTCCGCAACCGTTACTTTGCGGACCCATGCTTATTGAGACTTTTCTCTTTAAATATTTTACACTCTTTTTTTAACACCCTGTATACAAATTTTGATTTTTTTAAATTTTAACCTATAGGTATACTAATAAAGAAACAATTTTCATAATAGGTAACATTAATTTCGGAAATGCAACGTTAATAAGAAAAACGTTATATTATGATCTACCTCTATTATTTTTTCAACACCCTGTATATGTATGAAAAAAGATGTAATCACTTTTAGAAAATACTAAATAATCCCGAAGGATATACAGTATCTTTTTCGTTCTATGCCTACACCTCACTTATTCTGTTCTGATTTTGTTAAAATATGAAGTTCATTCCAACCCTCTGCCTAGGTTTTAATTTAATTCACGACACTTGTTCAACATTTGTAATGCCGTATATTAAAAGTGATGTAAAGCGATGAATTTGTAGAAAATAGAAATTACAAACAGCGAACCTACCTATTTATTACATTTCTAATTACCTACTGTAGGCCGTATTGATTCTATTCTATTGTTTTAAATTATTGGTACACCAGCTCACGTTTTATCCCCCGTAACTTTAAACGTGTAAATTTGCCCTTTCATCCACGAACAAATTAAATACGAGTCCAATACAAAATTAGTTCCTCCTATAAACTAATTAAATATGTACACATTTTTTAATGATTTCTAAATCGTAAGTGCGTATTATGGACTATACAGGGTGACTCAGAACTTTTCCATAAAAAAATTTTGAATGTAGGGATTCTTACAAATACAATGTTGTAAATAAAAAATCAAAAAGAGCAGTTCGAAAATGATTTAAAAATACACTACCGCACGGCATTGGAAGCATGCACGGTAAAGTGTAATGAAAAATGAACGGACAAAAAATTGAAAGAATTTCTTTCCCAAGGAAAGAAATAGATCGATAACATTTTACAATACCTATTTTATATCAGCAAATTCAACTACTTTTGCAGATATTGTTATTATTATATTAAATTAATATGTGGTTTTAATTAATAAAATAATTAAATTATTTGACATATCTGATGTTACAACTGTTCAAAATTTTGTCCATTGACGTGTAAACATATTTGGACCCGTCTTACCCAATTTCTACGAACTAACACAAATGTTATCTTGCTTCATCATAACACAAATCTTCTTGTCTTCTTATAAATTAAAGCGATATATCAACTTCGAGTTGCTAAGCCATTTTTGACACTTGAAAAACTAATGTAAACACTATCGCAACAACGATAGTACTACTTTTATAATTTTTTTCTCGGAAACTATAAGGATTTACAAAAATGTTTTTTACGATATTGACTTCAGTTTTCATGACGCATATATTCCCAAATTTTTTTGGATAAGTTGTGAATAACCCTGTATATTAGTCGATTAATTTTGGAATACGTTTTCAAAAATGTAAAAACGGAAATATTATTTTTTATCGAATACCTACAAATTTAGTGTTAACATTTGAAATAACCTTCCTTAGAAACCAAAAGGCGTATATTAAACAGGCGGATAACAATAAAGGGCTCATTAAAAATTACATAAAAATATATTTTTATTTTCCTACTTTGTAGGTGCAGTTGTTATACAAAAGAAAAGTCGATCCCAGCAACAAGAAAATTGGGTGCATCGCAAAAAGAATGAAATTTTATACAATTTTTTTCCTATTCACTTAACCGTTTTTTAGTTATTTGCAATTTTAGTTTTGTTTTTTTAACAAATATAACGCACTATATTTTTAATAAAAATGTTTGACTAATTTGTTAAATATTTTGCAGTTAGAGAAGCAGTATTAAAAGATTTCTAGCTTCCTGAACTAATCACCATGATCTAGTTGGTAACTACCGGTTTTTGTGAAAATCACTTTAGGAAAATTCATTCTGAATAGTTTTTGTGGTCATATTTCCAGTTTCAAATTTTCTCTTTTAGTTTAAACATCTAGGAGACTTCTAGGAAATGTCTGAAGATTAAGTTTCCCATTACTGTCCTATTAATTATGAAAGTGTAAATAGTAAAACCTGCGTCTGCATCTAAATTATTTTTTTAATTAATTTTAGGTCGGACATAATATTTTTATATTTTTAGACCAATAAGCAGCCTCTATTATTGGCCAATAATTGTAATTAACAGTACCAGTAATTGACCAAGCCTTTTTCTTCAGGCATTTTCAATTAAATCTAGATTTCTAAAACTGAAACAAAAACTTAAACTTATCCCAAAAAAATTGTAATCCTGGTTTTTAGGGTGCATACTGTATATTAAAACTGCGAACAATTGTAGCACACGTCACACTCAATTGCGCCCTAATAATACACTGGGTGTCCAAAATTATTTAATCAACAGGAAGAAAATAAACAAGTGATTTGAATTATTTCAACAGGTGACACTTGCTAATATAATTGTAACTTATAAATCAATCCATAACATAGAATATTTTACTGGAAGCTTGGTATAAATGTTTTGAATAGGTAAAAATTAAGTGGTTATACATTGTAAAACCTCAGTATGTTCTATTTTGTTAAAAAATCGGCTATTATCCTATTTGCATATTTCCTCGTACATTGTTATGGCAAATTTATTCTACTTTTACTTAAAACCAGCACTAAAATTACCAAAACATTGCAATAAAACCATTAAATCAGTAATTACCTATAATCAAGTCCTATCAGACGTTTCAATAATTCATATCCTATTGCTAAATCAACAGTATTCTTCTAGCGGCTAACATATCACTTACAATCTTATAAATAACAAATATTAAGAACTGGCACACGCCAGATGAGAGAAAGGCGGCGCTTATCACAAACAGAACATGATGAAGATAATAATAATTACCAGCGAGACGTATGCCTCAAGCTCCAGGAAGGAAAAGTCGCTCAAAATCACCGAATTTCAAAATCCGTTAGACCTTCTCGCACTTCACTAAAACTCGGGGTTTAATTAAAAATTCTGGCGTTTCTCTTGTACGATTCCACGACACGAGCAACGTGACCAAGGGTTATGAAGGAACCCTATTGGTCGAGGAGGTCATGTGACTCCTCGGTCACGTTGCGAACGATGTGTTGGAAATATATACACGGAGAGCAAAGCCACGAAATTGGTGTATGTACTTTATTTAATATTTGGTGAATAAAAGAAATAAAAGTCATAATTTGTTCACTTACAATTGCAACCCCACATTGGGCGCCAAATTATAAAACATATTCATTTGATTCATTATTTTAAATTGAATATTCAGTGAATAATGTAGTAAAAAACTTATAATCTGTATATTTAAGAGCAATTTGTTCAATAGCGATTAAAGCCCCACTTTGAGCGCCAAATTACTTAAAAATACATTTGCCTTCGGTGCGTATATTTATTGTTTTCGATATAATTTAATAACCAGTAAATAAAAGAGAAAAAAATATAAATAATTTTTTCAGTGACAATACCAATACCATTGGGCGCCAAAATTTCTTATCAATAATTTTCTATTCATTTGACTCATAGATACTATTTAAAAATGAATTTAATTTAATGTTCAGTGAATAATACATTGGAAAACTTCTACTTTGTACATTTAAGACTAATTTTTTCGATAGTAATTACAGCCCCACATTGGGCGCCAAATTATTTAAAAATAATTTCTTTCCGCATTATAGGTATTATTTTCAATTTCATTCAATATTTAGTGACGTAACGTTCACGTAACATTTTACTCTTATCTTTTTTGACCTTCCATCTAGGAAAAGAAAAATGGCAAAGACTAAAGTTTTGTTGCAATGGCAAAGAAATTTATAAAAAAAAACTATTGAATGTTGCATTTCAGATATACAGGGCCGGAAAGTCACCATGATTCATCGGCCGTTACGTGAGAGCGATAGAGAAAGATGGCTATAATGAAGGCGTCTAATAGTCACCGCCCATTTCGCCCTTCCACAAATAAGATCCACTTCTTATTTGTGGAAGGGCGAAATGGGCGGTGACTAGTAGACGCCTTCATTATAGCCATCTTTCTCTATCGCACGGATTTCTATGACTTACTTTATCGCTCTCACATAACGACCGATGAACCATGGGGACTTTCCGACCCTGTATAATATAAACCAAAATTGTGTTTGTTGTTTCAAATGGAATACTCTGTATATTTGTCGCTATTTTAAATCCTCCTTTTTCTAATTATAGTAACATATACATGTCCTATACTTGCTCTGAAAAAGTTTGCACAATATTTTGGTTTATTTACTGACACCCAAAAATAATTAAAGTCAAGATTGCCAGCGGAAAACATACCTACGGTCTGTACGGCAATTGTACAGGGTCTTCCATTAAAAAAAAACAAAATTGTGGTTTATATCTTCGAAACGCTACATTCAATTGTTTTCTATAACATATTTCTTTTAGATCCCTAAAAAAATCCATAAAATTTTGGTATTTACAATTTTTTCCTAAATAGAAAGGCAAGAAAGGTAAGGTATTATGTTATGTGACTACATACAAACAAGAGCAATACGTTCAATGCTAATTGCAGCCCCACGTTGGACACCAAATTACTGAGAATGATTAGAAGTTTCTGTCCTCTGTTTTCGTATGCATTCGATCTTTATTTATTCAGAGTATTCCAATCATTTAGTTCATTCCTGTTTACAGCAATATCAAAACCTACTTACGCTCGGATCTGAATAGAATTCCCATTTTATTCATACTCATAATACAATAACCGGATATTTAATTACACTTTAGATATCCCTTAATGAATAACAGATAATCTCGCGTAGTTGATTGGCATTGATCATTCCATCATTCCGAAGGAAGGTCGAGTTCAGCAATCGCGTTTCCACAAGGAAATGTTAAATGGTTATTGTTTTTCCAAGGAATTAGCAACGCCCTCTTTTAGATCTCGTGTGCGTGATAATAAAGAAGTGTTATAAAAGAAAGGTGCTAATAATAACTCTTTTAACAGTAATAATGCATTTCTTCATCGTTTTCCTTCAAATTAAGATTATACAGAATTATACAGAAGATTATAAAGAATTATACAGGTAAAAATTACGTTCCTTAAAAAAATGTCGATGACGTCACAGTTCTGACATCTATCCAATGGCATCAAAAGACGTGTTTTTTAAATAGAAATCGACCTGTTCAAGTTTTTTAGTATATCAATTATTTTTAGGTGCTTGAATCTCTCATCCAGTAGGGTGTGGAATTATGACTCCTCGCCGTCTTTGTTTATAAAAACTTTGGATATACAGGTTATTACAAGTATTACGTGACGTAAGCGTAATGTTATTTCTTTATTTACAGTTTTACTAAAATTTAAAAACGCTTTAAATTACATTTTGATAACTATTTTACTCTTTTAACTTACTTTCTGCATACAATAAAATATTTAAGCAAAAATTACAATAAGTTCAACGTATTTTATATCTACTATACTTATTTATTTAATAATTTTAGAAATTATAACGTCAGTTTATAAAATAGTCGAAATAATCGATTCTGATCCCCTAATGAAGCACCTATATAACAGTTTACAAACTCTAAAACATGGTCACGCAACTTGCTTGAATGTACATACAAACACTACAATACCAAGGGAGAGATAGTAGAAATGAATAATCAATTATTGCAGGAAGGCATCGAGCTTTGCTTGCGAACAAACAGAGCTAAAGTAAAACTACACTGAGAAAAAGCATGTTTTTGAAAATCTGAAACTTTTGACTAGACCCTGTCATAATGGGTAGTATGGATAAAAAGGAGGTCAACCTTTTTTTTATAACAACAATAGATTTTACTTAGTTTTGTATAAATCAATATCGAAGCAATACTTTATATACACGATTTACGATAAGTTTTCAATGACGTCACGTTTAGTAATTAGGTGCAGTCAATAGAATAATGCTATATTGCTGCTCTGTATCACGTTAACTCTCGTGAAACTACGAAATTTTATTGTTTTGCCTTTACCACACTGCGCCGTTGCTCAGGCAGTAAATTAAAAAAAAAAGTTGACAAGCATTTGATTGACGTTTTTGTTACTTTCGACAGCCTGTGTAATACTGAAAGCGTCTTTTTTTCGAAAACTAGTTTTTACTTCTAGATGTTTAATGAGGCTGCTGCTTTAATTAATTGTTTAAGTTTACTGCGGACGTTGTATTATTAGCAAGTTCCGTAGACTCACAAACTCCACAAACCCCAAACCCACAATCCCTAAACCCACAAACCCCAATCCCACGAAACACGAGCCTACAAACTCCAAGCTTACAAACCCCAAGTCCACCAACTCCAAACCCACAAACCGTATGGGTATGAAGTTTCTGAATTACAATCGACTGCTTGATGTCTAAGGGATCCTTAGTAGATTTTCGCATATTAAAAAACTGAGAAACTTAAAAATTTCAACATGTGATATCTCAACGAAAAAAAAAGATATTTGAGCAAACTCAACGACATTCGAAGGAGGGAGCCTTGCACTTTTAGATTCAATGTATTAATTTTTTGAAAAAGAATAGATGGCATTACTACATAACCTCAAATATGACGAAAAACTGTGTTTTTTGCACTTTTAGATTAGAATATGTCAAAAACTTGAAGTGATAGAGAGCAATTCTGCTGCCAGATTCGGATTCAGCGCACCTAAATCCTTCGGAAATATAACGAGCGTTCAAATAAAAACGTGGTCGAAGTTGGCTCTGACACATTGGACGTAGGGAGTAGCTTATAGCGACCAACTTAACCTCATTTCTCANGTAATTAGGTGCAGTCAATAGAATAATGCTATATTCCTGCTCTGTATCACGTTAACTCTCGTCAAACTACGAAATTTTATTGTTTTGTCTTTACCACACTGCGACGTTGCTCAGATAGTAAATTAAAAAAAAAAGTTGACAAGCCTTTGATTGACGTTTTCGTTACTTTCGACAGCCTGTGTAATACTGAAAGCGTCTTTTTTTCGAAAACTAGCTTTTACTTCTAGATGTTCAATGAGGCTGCTGCTGTAATTGTTTAAGTTTACTGCGGACGTTGTATTATTAGCAAGTTCCGTAGACTCTGCTTAAGATGGTAACAATTTATTTGCGATTGAAATTTTATTTTGTATAGAATCTTCTATGTCCCCGCTACCGTGCTAGAACGCCACCCCCCATGTCATTAATAGTGGTAATATCGGCCCCTGCGTCGGCTAACATCTAAAGTTTATCAGTTTCTTAATATGCGAAAATCTACGAAGGATCCCTTAGACGTCAAACAGTTGATTGCAGTTCAGAAATTTCATACTCAGAAACCTTCAATACATACGAACTCAAACTCCAATTCCACAAACCCCAAACCCACAATGCCTAAGCCCACAAACCCCAATCCCACAAAACCCGAGCCTACAAACTCCAAGCTTACAAACCCCAAGCCCACCAACTCCAAACCCACAAACCGAATGGCTGAATTACAATCGACTGCTTGATGTCTAAGGGATCCTTAGTAGATTTTCGCGTATTAAGAAACTGAGAAACTTAAAAATTTCAACATGTGATATCTCGACGAAAAAAATATATTTGAGCAAACTCAACGGCATTCGAAGGAGGGAGCCTTGTACTTTTAGTACTTCAATGTATTAATTTTTTGAAAAAAAATAGATGGCATTACTACATAACCTCAAATATGAGGAAAAACAGTGTTTTTTGCACTTTTAGGTTAGAATATCTCAAAAACCTGACGTAATAGAGCAATTCTGCTGCCAGATTCGGATTCAGCGCACCTAAATCATTCGGAAATATATATTTAAGTTTCTGCTTCCAAAAAAAGTAAAATTTTGTTGGTCTGTGTAATTAATTG